GGTGGGCCGAGTCAACATTCTTCGTATTCAGGTGAAGATCGGTTTCCCCATTCGATCACTGACAAAGAACTCCTCATTTTTTTTTTTTTTTTTTCCAAGTTCAAGGTCCCAAGATCCTTTGCCAGAAGCTCGGAGGTCACAACTGAGAGCCAGGAAAGGTGCAGCCTGGCGGAGAAGATGTGCATTGTGGAGCCCAAAGAATTGCGGCACAGTCAAGACGCACAGAGAGCAAGCTTTAGATGGCAGGCTTCGCAGTCCACTCAGCCTGAAAAGGGATCTGGTCGGTTATATTCAGCTTGTGATTGGGGTTCCCTCGTGAAAGTCCGACAGTGGCGGACCCATCACAATAATCACTTTCTTAGATCACGAAATCGACGGTGCAAATCCCGGAGCCCAAAAAAGGTCACTGGGGTTGCCAGCGAGTCAGGGCAGCAACCTGCTGCTTCTTGGAGCCGGTTTTCGAGGGTATGAGGCTGACATTCTTAACATGTCAGAGTGCTTGCTATCCTCCGAGGAAATAGCACCCTGTCCTGTCGGAACAGCGTACGCGAGACCGATCGACGATCCGCTGTGGCTGACTCTGGAGAACGGACTTTGCGTTCGTCTGTCGCCTGTCGTCTACAGCCAAGGTGGTCAGTGTGGTCCGGAGATCGCAGGGATTTTCTTCATGCTGGTTCCTTCCATCTTGAGTAAGCGCGACCCAGTCAGTCCGAGCGGCAAAGGATCAAAGTCAAACACCAGAGCTGCCGAACCAAAGTTCCAATTTCCCCTTCAATATCACAGCCTAGCTCGAGCTAGAGGCTGCTAGAGGGCCGCCGTCGCTTGTCAGCACGTACCCGCAGCCCTGTTCGATCACGTGAGGCTCCATTCATTCACAGAGCCAAGTTAGGACCAACCTTGAGGGATCCTGGCTGTAGAATTGTAATTCCAGGAGTGTCGAGTACAGTGAGGCATCTGGGACCATCACATGGATGGCCCGGTCTGAGGCTCACCTCGATCTCCAGGCCCGACTGGCGAAGACTGTGACCGCGACTGTGACTGCGACTGCTTTGCAATCTGCAGTTCAGGCCGGCGTTTGAAGTAAGTGTGAACATCAAGATTGGGACTGCAAGTGGGTCAGTGACAGTAACAGTAAATGGCCGTTCTTTTGAGGCGTCGTAGTCGTACTTTTGAAGATGTGGGTTCCCGATCTTCAGCACTCGGTCCTTCAGGTTCAGGAGACTCCAGTTGATATTTTGTTTCTCTCCGACTCTTCACAGAATCATCAGCTGGTTCTCCAATCATTCGAGCCCTTTGAATTCCTCGATCAGTCCGCTCGGATGGTCAAAGCTCGACTTCCAGAACACTCGATTCGATCTTCGCGTGGGGAGCTCCAGCCACCCTGTGATGGGTCGGCCGGTCGCTGGGTCCCAGCTCGCATCGCAAATATACGAGCCCCGAGACAGCGAATAGCGTCGCTTAATTTCGCCTGATTTTCGCGGTTTTCCCCCAAGTCGGAGCGGGCGGGGCGATCCCGTTATTATTCAATGATTCCTTTTTGCTCACGGCCACACTGAGCAAGCCCGTCCCCCCATGGCCCATGCCAACATGGAGCTGTAGATCGCGATTCGCCAGGCCCAGCATCCAACGGTTCTGCAGCACTGCCGACTTCATCGCTCGAGCACCTCTGGTCCTCATCAGTTAGACCAGCCGAGAAAGGAGATGCAAACGAGCTGTGTCCCCGTCTGTTACAATGCAATCAAAGCCCTCACATTCCCAACAATTCCTGCATACCTCGCAATCAGAGTCTGTCAGCAAGGGGGCCCTCTGTCTCTGAATCAGCGGACTTGGCCTGGCCTGGTAACAAACAGCATGTAGTTTTTGCAACAGCTGATTAGTAGACTGTCGGTGAGACAAGGCGGCTCATGGAAAGAAGTTACGTAGGTCCTGATATGTACTATGTTTTGCTTTTTCAGGTGAAGAAACCCTTGCAGTGCTTCTTCATTGTTGCAGGGGGCTGCCATCAATCATCGGGCGAGCTCTGCAAGCCTGAAATGTGACTCTTCATGTTATGCTGCATCGTTGCATAATTGCCCATGCGGCCCTCGGATTCCGTTTGCTGAGTGCTCTCGACATGCAGCCATCCATCACCCACAGCTCCGCCACAGCCACAGGACGTGGGCCAGGATGAGGAAGTCCTTGGTCCATCTATTGCCCCGTTCAAGTAAGAGCCTGGCCCCCATGGATGAGGTGAATGGTGCATGTGTGCCTTACGATCTACACAAGCCTGGTTCAGCAGACCCTCAGGCCTTCCCTGAAGAGTCAGGGCCGCAGGTAAGCCATCTTAATACAGCACTCCAGTTTGCAAAAATACAAGTCTTGGAGATGATGAGCCTCGCTCCACAACAGTAGTGCAGTCCAGCCGTTAGGTTCGTGGGTGACAACTGACAACCGTGATGATAATCCAGCAGCCCGGCTTTCTTCAGGTGTAAGCCAGTGCCCACAGTAATTGTGACAATCTCCGCGACCCAGATGCCGTATGGTCTCGCCTGTAGCTGCTCCCTCCACACACTGCCGGGCTCTAATTGAGAACCCGAGGGTAATATCCATTTTCCGGGCCCCACGAGACAGGGAAAGAGAGTGATTCGAAGTCTCGACTCTCCTCTAGACCAACGTTGCCTCTAATGAATGCACTAAAAAATTAAAAAAGGAAGAAAAGGAAGAAAAGGAAGAAAATAAAAGTAAAGTAAAAGACAGTTATCTCTATAACATACAGGAGACTGCAGAATACGGATACAAAAGAGACAAATCGTCCGACATGCTACGGATGGATCCCTGCTAAGATACCATTTCCTATTCTTGGTCCCTGTATCGCGTTAGCCTATGCGAACTTAATATATTAAGTTTTCTTAGTCTCCTTCTTCCTCCTATGTTTTGTTCGAGGCTTCGGCCGGACCTTCGATTCTTCAGCAGTAAGAGGGTACGAGACCGACCCATCAATATGGGATTTGGGGGCCAGTTCGTCATGCAAATCCTTCAGAGCAACGAGGTGACAGGCTGGCAGTCGAGTCACTTGCCTAAGGCCATTAGGCAGACACTTAGTGGCATTGTGGCAGTGGCCAGTGGCCACCCACTCGACCAGGCCAGGCCAGGCGAAGCTAAGCTAAGCCCGCGCAGGGCACTACCTTTTCGGTGACGGAGGAGCTCGGTGGCCGCTCTGCATCCTGTCCTGGCGTCGGTTTCTAGAAGGATTTATTGTTGGTGAACCACGCCATCTTACTTGATCGCACTTCGAAATTTGAGTGCCACTCGGTCGCTCGGAATCGAAAACGTGATGGCCGTGTTGAAACTTTGCCCCCAAATGGTGGCCAGGATATTTATCTCACATGAGCTTGGGGTAACTAGTCAGTGTAATTCCAGCGCTCAGGTCTGGCTTCTCGCTCATCAAACCCACATGGTGCCACCGAAGTGTGGGACCTTGACGCCTGGGCCTTCAGTGTAAGGTAAGTATACGAATGGAGGGCCAAGTTCAGAATGTGCTGTGACTATTCTGCGATTGTAAATCCGAACTCGGTGTTTTGCAGGCCCTTAATAGCAATAATGACGAATCTTGGGCCGATCAGCCCGGAGACATAACAATTAGGAAAAGTCTCTGGGGAAATACTCAATATTGGGAACTTGATTGACATTTTAGTATAGAAAAGTTTCCCCGGAGAACTGCCGCCTGAGCACGACCGCAGAATTTCTCGGTCAACATTCCGAAATAATGATAAATAGGGCACGGTTTACTTGAACCGCCAGTTTCTGGGACAAGCCCCCAAGGCACAAAGGGGGTCGTCCAATGTAACCTTTCTGCGACGGAGCATGGCTTATGCTGGCTCCTGGCTTATCAAGCCTCGAAGAGTCAAAAGACCGATTGCCCCGTTTGTGCCTCGTTCCATGCTCGCTCGCTCCTCAATTTTGCCGATCATACTCTAATTTTTGGCAGCAACAACAGCCAACACTGCGCTCTTGGGCCATGATTGCATCAGCCATCAGGAGGTCGGTCGTGCACAGCACGCAAGGACATTTGCGAAGCCCACTGGCAAGGAGCTCATCGTCCGGAACCCCCATTAGGCACGAAGAGCGTTTACCTTTTTTTGGTGCGGCACAGCCTTCATACATAAGATAGGCGTGTCAGGTGGATACAAGCATGATGTACTTCGTTTTGACAAAGAAGCCTCAAGCGCTGTTGGTCCTTTCTATATCTGTGATTGGATATTGGGTCCTCACGGAGGCATCGTGGCTTTTGATACTCGAGATTAATAATAACGCAAGGCCACGGTATCGGGCAAGGCGTATCCAAATGCCCTACGTTTTACCGCACTCAGTCCACAGCGGCATAGCCGACAAGCAACTTTCGGGTCTTATGAGGTCTATACAGCCCGGAGCCGGGTTATCAGAGACGGGCTTTGGTGTGCGGAGTATGAATGTCACAAAAGCCGTTGATCAGGGTTGGCAAGGCGTATACAGGCCGGTACATCCCATGAGTCCGTCGCATCGGTGGAGACTCTGGAGAGCATTTCTTCAATTGACCGCAAGATAAATGACTGAGGGGCTGTTCAAGACCCGGAATCAGAGGCACTCGGGGGTCAACTTCCACTCTTGTTACTATAAATTAATCCGCGCGGTCATCAAATTAGGTCGGCCTAGGGGTTATCCCGTGAATATCGACTCATAAATCATAATAGAGCTCCTTGACTCGGAGAGGCAAAAAGACCATCAGATCTGTAGGAATGATGCATTCCCATTGGCTCTTCACCTGGAGAAAGAGGGTGAGCATGGAGCAATGAAAACAAAGGGGAAGATGGGCAGATTAATCTCTTTGGTGGAACAACAAGGATGAACCCGCTTCTGGGATGATTAACCTCGGATCGTCATCAAAAAATAACAAGTGTCATCAATCGTCGGTGGCCACTCCTCAGCTGCTCGGTTTCATTCTTCGTTCGACGAAGATCGGCTTCGGCTGCCAGCAATTATTCTCCTCGCAGCTCGAGGTGCCAAGGCAGCCGTCAAACCCGGGGATTGACTAGCTCCTTCCGTGATGAAGTTAGTAACGTCGCCAACCGTGCCGAAGAATATTTAATTGGCGGGGCTATATCTGGAGAATGTAAATGAGACAAAGTATGAAATAGAGGAGATCCCCATCTTCATCTTTCCGTCCTGCCTGACGCACATTATGCCTCGTGGACTGTTTCTGCTGAGATATTCTAGGAGTCGAGTTTTCGGGAGAAGAAGGCACAAACCCCTCAGTGGAATTGCCCAAGGTTGACTTATGGTGCGCTAATGCCTCGCTATCACACTTTCACCCAGACTGTCGGGTCCTGAGTAGTATTCTTGCTGTAGGCGAGGGCGGCTGGTGTGAAACTATTTTGCCAGGAATCGTATCCTTCAAATTTTCATCTCCTTTATCTCGCTATGATAGGGCAAGGAAATAAAGCCGTCTCTGCAGAGGCAAAATTCCATGCTCTTTCAGACATGAGCTCGATACGAACCCAGTATGAGAAGCCCGAAGTAATCCGAAGACACTATATCTCAACCGTAACCATGGGTTCGAGTCGGCTCACTTCCCTCCATATAATATTGCCAATAATAATAACCGTGACAATATCGCCAGGAGTAAATCCGAACAAAGGAGTGGCCCTGCAAGGACCACCGAGAAGAGAAGAGGTGACACTGCAATCCTTTGTTCTTCATCGGAGATCTCCGCCTGGCTCTAGCCTCCCCGCTCTCCACCCAAAAGTTGCCAATTGCCATAATGGTCGGACTACTTTGTGCAGTTTTACATGGTTGGCAAAACGGCCTTGTCAAGGTCCACACTCATCGAAAACTCCTCGTCGTTCGGTGCATAAAGAACCTGCCAACCGGTCTTCGGTCGCTCAGTCAGTCACTAAGACGCTACGTCATGAGTCAAGGGTAAAGACGTCCTGACAAGGCAAGCGCTGTCTTCCTTGGACTGGGGATAGAAAATCCTTCGCGACTTCGTGTCCGTTACTCACGAGCTGAAAGAACATCCACAGAGGGGATGCCCCACTCGATCCAAAGACTTCGAACTCAGGGCACGAGGAGCATACCTACTGATCGAGGTAACAGAGCTGAGCAGCTGATGATGGAGAAGTTCCCCTCGCCTCCGGGGTGTGGCACCGCTTGGACGACTTTCTGTCCTGTAACCTGGAGATTGTGGAGCGAGGTAAGGTGAATGCGAAAGTTGAGGTCTCTCCCGAAAGCCCTTTCGGTATTATATTGTAACATACTGTACCTTACCATTACTTGGGTGTACTCCAGTACTTACCACTACCGGGTGGTATTTTCAAGCAACGGAATGCCTTATCTCAAAATTCAACTTGAAAAAAAAAAAAAAAAAAGACTTGGAATATCTTCATGAATATTTTTACTTAACAAGGATTATTTTTATGGGAGAGATTCGAGTCGCCGATCGTACGTAATTCGCGCTGTCGGCATACCAGAGGTGTATTGTTCGTCGGGCCTTGAAATATATTTACATACAATAACATCACGGATCCTATATATATGTTGATTCCTGTTCAATCATCATGCAGCTACCAGGTTGCAAGTGAGACTCCCAAGAGCGCAAACTTTTCCAGTCATACATATAATCACCCAGACCCCATCCTCTTAAGCTGAGAGGGTGCAAACTGCAGAACGCTGAAAAGCACGACATTCCAAGCTATCTCTCACCACTGACAAGAGCCACCACCCAGCAAAAATCAATCAAAACATTTTGGCGAAAAGGCGAAATTAAAATAGAAATAAATCGTCGATGCAACCCCACTTGCAAGATTCAGGAACACACTGACACCACGGGCTGGCCCGGTGGGAGGCCTGAAGGCCTTACCTTGAAGGATTTTGCTCTAATATTTCAATTGGGCGAATCGTCAAATCCTTGGGGTGTCATGGCTAAGATCACCCGGTGGATTATATGCAAAGATTTTCCTGAAAATGACACTACTGAATGGAGGGTGTTGGCGCACTTGGGCTGGCGAAAGGGTAATATCTTGCCCGTTGTTTATGAGAAGATACATTGCAAGATTTATGTTAAAGAAACACCGGTGATGAGTCCATTCAGCTACCGTAGATAGAGGGGACCTTTGTCGCACAGCTGTCACATTAAAATAAATAAACACGTATTGTCAGTCGCCATTATGGTGTGCATTGTTGACAATTGACCATGGCTATTGGCAATCGCGATTGAAGAGGCTCAATCCGCGTGATATCCGGTCGCCACCTCACATCTACAGAGTTGTGTTAGCTTGATATCTCACAAGCGGTAGGATCCCCGTCACCAACACGAAGACTTACGGGTCAGTGGCATACTGCACGTTGCAGTGCTCCCAATCTTCATTGCGGATTATGGCAGCGCGAAAGCGAACCGCATCGTCGATGCTGCAGAAGCGAAAACTGACGGAGCGGGGCTTTGTACTCAAGTCAGTCAAACACTCGCCGAATAAGATTAGATAAACTTACACAGCCGGGGACGTAACTGTCGATAATTTTTTCAACTTTGCGGTGGCTGGCAGTGGCAATCTCGACTATTTCCTTCATTGTGGCTCCCATATCTACACCGACTGCGCGAACGACGCGAGTCGAACCGACAGACAGGTTGAATGAGAGCTGCGAACTGATCACATCAACATCTTCGCCGCGGTCCACAAAGACTGTGAACTTTCTTTCCTTGTCCAGATCAATCCCATTCGGATATTTATCATAGAAAGCCTTGCACGAAACAGGGTCGCAGAACAAGACATGGGCATTCCCAGTCGGGGTGATAGAAACACTCTCAACCATACCACCATGCACCAGAGACAGCACTTTGTCAGCGGTGTTCCAAGAAGGAGGCAGGTTTTTGATGATAACCCTCCTGACTTGGGCAGCTAGATGGGAAGAAATAGGAATGTGTTAGTATTGAATATACACAAGAGGGGTATGGCCATGGTTAATATACCGGGTTTGTTGCGAGCTGCAGGAGTTCCCCACGACGAGAAAGTGGTAAGATGCTCACGGTCTTCTTCCTTTTCGGGCTGAGCTTTCTCGCTTTCGGGAGTAGGAGCACGCGAATCAACAGCTGCGGCTTGAGTAGAGGTGGCAGCCTCGTCCGCTTCGAAGTCGATCATGGGTTTGTTAAAATCGCCATTCGCGTCGCCTACTCCAGGCTCCTGAGTTCCTATAAGAAGAGTTAACAAATGCTTTGTAGAGACTAACATGCTATAAAACTAGTGTACCCATAGGTTCATCAGGTGTATAAGTTGTAGGCGCATCCGTACCTTCAGTTGCCTCGAAGGCAGCCCGGGAACCTTCTTGTTCGGTTGACGCGTCGTCAGTGACAGCAGGGGGCTTGCCATATTCCTTTTCCAGTTTAAACGAGCGAGCAGCTGCCATAAAGGCAGCCGTATCATCGACATCAGCAACCGGGGTGTCCATGGCCACTGATTTCATCGCTGAAGAGGGACAAGAGGTGTTGTGGTGCGGTAGGTGTGGAAGGGGAGGGGTTGGGGGATGAGAGAGGGGAGAAGGGCGAGTGATATTATTTTCTCTGCTGAGACTCTGCTGTGAGGTTGTGTTATGGTGTCAGTCTTGTTTGTTTGGGGTTGAGAACGGCTTGTGTGAGGGAAGAGGGGAGTTGAGCAAGTAATCAATGCTGAGAGAAAGGAGAGAACTGACATGGCAAACACCTGGATGGGTGTCCCGATTTCCCTTCTTGGGGGCGTGTTGGCTATCCTCCAGGCTGTAAGCAGCCCGTTCTGCAACTGCTTCAACGACGTTGTGGATAATATCTGAAATGTTCAGGCCCGTGAGCTCAGCAAAACGCCTCCCTAGAGCCATTTTGTGAAAAGAGGCAAGGACTTGAGAATTCGGATAACGGTGAAAGAGGAAATGAAGGAAATAGGAAGTGAAAGAAGTGAAAATACAAGAAGACAGTGTTTGCTTGACGCACCCTGGAGCTCTTAACCCCAGAGTAGAAAGCTAGGAGAAGAACATGATCTTACCTGGTAGGATTATTTATGACTTCAATCAAACAATGAAAAAGGAACACTTTATTTAAAGGTAGAGCTCTAGAAATTGAGACCTTCCGTACAGGAAATATAGGAAAGAGGATGAAGACTAGTGAAAAAGTAGCACCAGAATAACAAGCTCTGCCAGATTGTAACATGGCAAGACTAGCAACTCGCGGCTTGGGAAAATTTGCACCTGAAATCTCTTTTTATTGCAGGCTCATAATATAGACAACAGTGAATTATCTGTTTCACATACAATTAAACGAAGATACTACATACATATTTCGAGTTCGTCCATATTCTATCCTAGGTCGGAACTGGTATAGACTCCCAACCAGCCTCGCCCTCTTGACGGTCCTCGACAATCACTTGGAGCCCCGGGCGTCCACAAAAGCCATCGTTCGAGGCTATCCGTTTAGCTTCCTGGAACGAGCCCCCGCCATTGTCGTTCTCATCCGGAACCCAAGCAGTTTCCGTGACACGTTGCCCTGGAACCTCGGTGCGACGAGGGTTGAATCGCGGCAGGGAAACCAGAGGGTTTAAGATGTTGTGGATGAGGGTATAAAGCCGCTCGGGTCGACGGGCGAAACCTAGCCATGACAATGTCCGGCTGTCGTATGCCACCCGCACGAATGGGTTCATATAAACCCCTGTGTCCGTAATCTCCTCAGGATTGATTGGTACATCTTGAATATCTGCATGTATAAGGCAGCATTCAGAAGCTTCCCAAAATGCATCGTTCGATGCGCGAAACCGGAGAGGATGGTCTCGATCAGGCCCTGCAGTTGGAAGTTGAAAGAACCGAGCATCGAATGCAACCATACCTCCCCAACAGCTGCGAACCCGGACAGAATCGGTTCCCGATAAAACATCCTTGCGGCTCAGCCCATCGCCTACATTAGAAAACCAGGGAAAGAAAGGAAGACCCATGCCAAAGCCTTGCAGGTCGCGCGTCGCATAAGTGTCGTAGAACTTGAATGGGTTGATGAAATCAACAGCGCAGGCAGCCCGGTACCGTGCGATCCCATCGTCATCAACATGGGTAGAGAATAGAAGCTGAAGTGCGTCAACAGGATCAAAAGCAACGTCGTTCAGGTATAAAAGTTTATCAAACTGCATATCCTGGTGTGTTTCTAAGGGTCGTAGGGCTCGGTTCCGGACCTCAGCCAAGTATTCAATGCGCCTTATCCGTTTCGATCCACCAGGGACGGTCACGGAATGCAAACTGTCAAAATCCAAACTGTCCTCGTATACAATCGAATTATTGCAAGGAACATGGGCCTCAAGGTCTCGCAACGCGCCTGCGCCTGCTGATCCGCTATCATTTTCGTAAATGCTTAAGAATACGTTCTCTTCACCGAGTAAATCAACCAGTCTCAGAACACTCTGGCCCCACAAGCCCCCCGCTATATCTCCGGCACGGTCGTATAAGCTAGCGGCAATGAAAACTTTCTCATTGCGAGGATTGCCTCGACCGGGAGAGGTTGATTTTTGGACGGTATCGCGGAGAGTGGCATAATGTGAAGGCGGCCGAGAATATGAAGGGAAAAACGCGGTTGCTAGAACTAAGAGGGCGAATATGATACCAAAGAAACTCTGAATATACAACCATACGCGGCGATTCAGGCAGAGCCGGTAGCACTTCCCCCATCTCGAGGTTCTAGCGAAAGGTTTCGGGACATTCAGACGACGATATCCGGTGGTGTAATTTGAGCCGAAGATACGTGATATTAGAGGTGCTCGGTCAAGCAATTTGCTGCGGCTAGGGACCGACTGTGACTCGAAGTCGGCATCATCGAGATTGAAGGTGCCCTGGGAATCGATGGACGATCGCAAATCCAACTCGTACTCGTCTGGATGAAGTAGTCGGGAGGACATAATCAGGACGCGATTTTCTCACAGTCAAGGCGGGAAAGACAGCTGAAAAAGACCACCCATTCCTCAGGTTTTGAATCGTCGATCCGCAGGAAACATCAGGTAGGCCCGCTCAGGTTTTGTGAAGAGTCAAGATTTGCAGCGATGTCAACGGCTTTGCTCTCCTTTTCTGGGGCCGCCGCGTCAGGATTCCGAGTTGTATTATGTCAGCTACCTAGTAGGCCGCCGCAATATCTATGGTGTGGCGCAGCAGCACACGAGGAAGATGCGTTTTCGTTCCAACGTACATGGGAGCCTATTATCTACATTGGCTGGTACCTTCAGCGGCCTGCCTTTTGACTCGCATGCAGAATAGGTTGATTTCATCACCAGCCGAAGAGGGGACGACCGTTGGTCGTGGACAAACACGATGAGTTTGCGCCCCTGAGGTCGCCTCAACCAGAACGATGCCATGGTACAGCCTCGCTGACTCTAGCGCTTATTCCATGACGTTTAACGCTTCCGGTTGGAGCTGAGAGCTGGGCGGACTGCCACTTTGGGGCAAGATGCCCGCCTGGAGACCAGGCGCAGTCTATACTCGACGCGCACTTCAACTCCAGACTTGAAGATAACATACAAGGTGCCTGGGAAACAATATGCCTCGTTTGTGGTTGGTGCTCTTTGCTTTCTCATCGAAGCAGACTAGGTCACGGCTTGTGGACTCTGTTCTTCGGCGTAATTTGAATCTCAAGGTGGTGCCAGTTCGAGTGACGTAGGGTATTTAGTTGCTGCTTTGTCCCCTTGGATTTCGCATTCCCCTCTTTTCTTGATTAACCCCTCACTAACAGAGTCCTTTACAACATTTCTACTCTTTGTATTGGCACTGCCGTCAAAGCGCGCTCAAATACGACCACAATGGCTGGTTTTTCGTTCGCGAACTCTCTCGACAAAGTGCCCGGTGGCGAAGCCCTCCCCGCAGAGTTCACAATAAAAGCTTCCCCGTCGACGGACGTGTGGGCTAAGCCACCTTCCACCGAGCGATTTAATGCTCCTATCCTCTACAAATCCATCACACTGGATAGTTTCAGGCGTGCCAGAGTCGCATTCTCGGCTAACTGGCATCAGAAGTATGACCAGGGTGGACTGATTCTTGTTCTCAACGGGGCCGACGGAAGTCGCAAATGGGTCAAGACTGGCATTGAGTTCACCCACGGCAAAACTTATTTGAGTACCGTGACTAAGGATCGATGGGCAGATTGGAGTCTGCTTTCTGTTCCATCAGGCGGTGCAGGGGCAACGCTGGAGGTTGTCAGAGAACCGGACGACAGCTTATGGATTTACCTCGTCGAGGGGATCCAAAAGTCGCCGATTCGAGAAGTGACTTGGGTTTTTGCTGAAAAGGATGTTACTGACGCCTGGATTGGTTTCTACGCGGCGAGGCCGTCGAGCGAGGGAGGTGATTTGGTCGTGAATTTCGCTTCCCCTGTGATCGACGTGACGGATTCGACGAAAAAATAGTCGTTGTCACAATTTGTTAGATTTCGCCGCTTGCTAGACCTTTGATGTTGATATTTGTCGGCCTTGGATATAAAGAGTACTCAACGATAGCTTGCAAAGTTGCTACAGCTTCAAGCATGAACTACTCCGGGCATAAAGCAAAGCTTTCCCGCTAGTAGTTAATGAAACTTAATGAAGTGACTGGAGCCCTCATCTGTCCCTCACCTAACTTTCTTGAACAATCTCTTTGTCTAGGCTGCTTTTGTAGTGCCCCTGGAGCTTCGGCACTATTCCGTACATTGACGGGTTGCGTCAGAATTGGAGGTTGCCCGTGTGACTACCTCTACTTGGCCGTAACTATTATTGATGGAGAAGACGGTTGTATTTGGTTATTGGTGAGGTTTTTTTTTATTTTTTAACCCTTGAGTCTTTGACCGCATTTTGCTCTTCTCCATTTTGAGGAAACAACGATCTCAGCCTGATCTTTTCTGTACGGCTGCAAATAAGCAGTGGGTTCGGAAATCATGGGCAAAAGCTAATGGAGTGGTGAATACTATTAGGTAGCAACGAGCTTGGGCCGACGGTGAAGCTGGTTCACCGAAAAAGAAGTGGAGTTGAGATCTGGGAGGGCCCGGAGGGGAATGCAGAGCGTGGAGATGGCACGGCGGCTTTCGCGGCAGCGGCGCTCTGCAGTTTGCACAGGTCCGACAGGCCGGAAACAGTCTGATCTGATATGGTTGTTCTTCTATGTAGCATGAAATTATTGAAATCGTGATGCACCTTGAGTTTCTTTCTTTCTTTTTTTTTTTTTGCCTTGCTTCGTCTCCGAGCACGGGGCTGCAACAGCACAACAATATCACACAACGTTTTTTTTCCGATGGCGGTACAAATCGGTCAATGGGAGACAAAAAGTGGGTATTCGATCATGAATGATCAAATCATCGGGGTTGATCTTGGGGATTCCCGTCGTTGGAGCCGGGACGATCGCGTAACATCATTCTGCTAGTCATGCGAAGTTGGACAGAGGATGTGCTGAATTGTCCTGCAAGGGGTCGGGCAGGGATGATGACAAAAATTATGAGTCAATCCAATAACCCGCCTCGTATTTCAATTCTCCCGTGTTTGAGAGATGTCTTCCCTGGCCAAAAACCGAGAGAACTGGAGATGAGGAAATTGGAAAAAGGGTACAGGTGAAGCTTACAATTGTTTGGCCCGATGGTCCCCGATATCACGCAGGTGATCTTATCATATCTGATTCTTTCCCGTCGCATTGTAACACTAGCGATCTTAGTCCGGCTGCCCATGCACGCCCCAAGAACTGTGAATACTTTCGGGAGTGCGTTGCACAAGGGCGTCGCATCTCATAGCAGAACCAAGCAAAACCGCCGATTCAGTGACATGACTTCTCGTACTTCGAGTCATCGCGGGGCCTATGGATCACGTGTATTTAATCCGTCTACCCAGGGTCTCTGGGCCGTCGCCTGGCTGCTCTGGGCTTGCCGGTCTCCCGTTTCTCCACTGCATGGGGGGTGCATTCTGTTTTGCCACTCACTCTCCGCCTCATCACCACGACCCTCAGAGTCACAGCCACCTTCTCTGACCTGCAAAGCGCACCCTACACCCTGCATTCCCCTTGACGCTCAAAACAACAAGACAACAAGGGCGCCAGCCGGCACCGCGCTCCACGTGTTTTGCGAGATGATAAATCAAGAATGCGCCCATGGTTGACTCTCCATTTCTTGTCAATTTCCGACTTCTGAGGGGGCCCCGCAGCCTATTTCTTCACCTTCAGTCGTTGGTTGATTTCAAGATATTTCAATCCCAACTCAGCCCCGGGCATCAAGCCCATAGGCTAATCCAAAACCATCAACTTGCATAAGTGCACTTGACGATCGTGGGTCCGGCCGTGGTCAACACGACGAGTTCAAGCCCAAGGACAAGGAAGCTGTTACTTGCATGACGGGAGCCCTTAGCTGCCTCGCATGTTTGTGACCCTGTGTACCTCTGTTGGTCAGCCTGATTACTCGCCATCTGTTTCGCTGTATTTTAGTACCTAACCGATGCTTTCCCGGCACTTGAAAGCTCACCGTCAGCCTGGGTGTCTCATTTCGTGTAGCCGCGATATTGCTTTTTCTCCAATCCACTAATACACCCCTTTTTGTTGGCTGGTGTGTTTCTTTTTTTTACCTATTCAGGTGGATCTGGCTGGCTCAGATCACAGATTGAGAGTGCTGCGCTGCTATTTGAAGATCTGACTGCGCGACTTTTCGTTCACGCCTGTTCCCGTTTACTCGACCTTGACCCTCGCTCACCGTCTTACCGCACAGAAGTCCTCCCCCTACTCATCGATCAATATACAACTCTCTGTTTCAATAAATGGACGATTATCGAACTAAGGTTACTTATCGTCCATTCTCCCCGTCATCTATAACCGGCTCGAGATGCCCCTACTTGAATCCGGCGCAACCGCATATGGAACGTTCGACGACATGAGAGGAGATACTGAGGATGAAGGAGACCATCTCCTTACGGAGGGATATATGAGCGACGGTGATGATACATCGTCTATTGATTCAGTCCAGGAGGGTGTGAGGAAAATCGAGGCGATCAACCTTACATGGACAACCCAAACACTGATAATAGCTTATATCAGGTGCGTCTATACATAAACCATTGTGACATTGGTGGCGGAGGTTGGTTGTATTGGTTTAGGCTAACGTGATCTCCAGTATTTTCCTTATGGCTTTCTGTACTTCTCTGGAGGGCCAGACAATAATGTCGCTTTCCGCTTATGCGACCAGCTCATTTAGCAAACATTCTTTGATATCTACCGTTCTTGTGGTCCAAAATGTTGTCAATGGTATGCGCTGTAAATCTCTTAGATATGATTATTTGTTGACAAATTTCTACTAGCTGTGATTAAGCCACCAATGGCAAAGATAGCCGATGTCTTTGGCCGATTCGAAGCATTTTGCCTAAGCATTCTGATATACGTCCTCGGATATATTCAAATGGCTGCGTCGACGAATGTTCAAACTTACGCTTCAGCCCAGATATTCTACGCCGCTGGTTCTACTGGATTGCAAATCCTTCAGCAAGTTTTCATCGCGGATAGTAGTAGCCTTCTTAACAGGGCACTTTTAGCTCTTTTACCCGAGATGCCGTTTCTTGTCACGGTCTGGATAGGGCCAACGATTGCCGATGCAATACTTCAAGCTACTTCGTGGCGCTGGGGCTACGGGATGTGGTCCATCATATTGCCCGCCTCGTTTCTCCCGTTGGGTCTTTCTCTGCTACTCAACCAACGAAAAGCTAAGCGACTCAACTTGATAAAAGAACGACCGCATCACCGACGTGGTATTATTGCGACAGTCCGTCGTACCTGGTATGATCTTGATATATTCGGGCTAACACTGCTTTCTGCGGCTGTCACATTGATACTTGTCCCCCTTACTCTTGCCGCAAACTCAAAGAATGGGTGGAAGAGCAACAACATCATCGTGATGATTGCGGTGGGTGTTGTTTGTCTCATAATTCTTCCCTTTTGGGAAACCTCAAAAAGGCTTGCGCCCAAGCCTCTTCTATCCCTTCATCTTCTCAAACAGCGGACTGCACTTGCAGGATGCACCTTGGCGTTCTTCTACTTCAGTGAGTTAACCCCGTAAACCAAAATCGCGGTGGTCGAATGTTATTAATAAAATACAGTGGCTTTTTACTTCTCGGTCCAGCCATATCTCTACTCCTACCTACAAGTCGTACAAGGATACGACGTTTCCACGGCCGGCCGTGTTACGCAGACTTTCGCATTTACGTCAACCATCGCTGCATTCGGGGTTTCTATCTTGATCAAGTATACACGCCGTTATCGTGTATATGTGACTATTGGTTGCGTTGTGTACATAACGGGTCTGCTGCTAATGTTACTGTGCCGCAAGGAGGGTAGTTCCGCTCTCCAAGTTCTGGGAACACAGATCATTGTTGGCGCCGGGGGCGGCCTCCTCAACGTTCCTGTACAGCTCGGCGTGCAAGCGTCTGCCAGCCACCAGGAAGTTGCGGCTGCAACTGCTATGTTCCTCACGTCCATGGAGATGGGCGGTGCTGTGGGTGCTGCTATTTCCGGAGCCGTCTGGACCCATAACATCCCGCGCAAGCTTGCTCTTTACCTCCCCGACGAATATAAGTCTGAAGCTGGGGAGATTTTTGGGAAGCTGACCAAGGCTTTGTCTTACGAGATGGGAACGCCAGTTAGGGCTGCAATCAATCGCTCCTATCAAGAGACGATGAACAAGTTGTTGGTATTGGCTCTAATAGCCACGCTTCCGCTGATTCCGTTGAGCCTTCTTATGTCTAACTATAGATTAGACAAGGTGAGTCGCATGAACTAAAAAGGATCCAGTAACACGTGAAATGGGCTAATTGGAGTAGATGAGTAAAACGCCTGACCACCAAACAGTTCCACCGACAGATGAAGATGCATCTGAATCCGGGGAACGGGTGAAACGGACGTAAAAAGCGGCATGGCTGCATTATATATTGACATGATGAACGAATTCTACTTTCACGATTGGGTCTTGTGGACCCCACGCCTTCGATAATGTGCGCTTGCATGTGGACCATGCATGAAGACGGAAGTATCACTTTAAAGCTTACGATCTACCTCTTCCGAGATTCAGCTGTAGCACGCATGGCTTTTTTACAACTTCTAGCGGATTCTTGCATCATCTTTTCCCTGATAGGCATTTTTTTTACCGGCGTACTGGTTGCTTTATTCTTATACTACCATTTGAACTATCACCGATGACTACAGGAAGGCGGCTTGCGCCTTGTACGGGACGATTATCTATTAAACTGTATATAGATAGAACAATAACAAATAGAGCATATATTGTGAAACTTTCCAGTTTGATTGGGATTATTTGACTCCTGCGGAATGGAACTCTGCCATGTCAAACGACGGCCATGAAACTTTAGATGGATTGAGGGATGTGAGACATGGCGGATACAGCCCTGGGATGCAGCGTCACAAGAGTCTGATGCGTAGTTTATGTACGGTCTTGAGCGGGCCGATGTGTTGGATACTCCGTGGTCAATAGAATGCGATGTCAATGAATGTCATTGATCAAGGTTTGCCTTCTCGGCGCGTAGACGAGCGACTGGCAGGGCGTTTCCCGTCACCTCAAATATCGCAGCCGCTCGGGCTGAATACCATTGGATAAAAGAGAGCGCAATGTCCATGATTGGAGGAAGAGTGAGGACCATGTCTGACTTTTGGTCTCCTTCACAGGCCTGAGGGAAGAGGTCGGTTTGAGCAGGTGTCTGGGTCTGGACGAGCCCGCGTGCTGCTTTGTCCGCCCCCTCCTTCTACTGCGAGATTGTTTCCTCCCTTCTTCTGCTACCGGTGTCGTCAGTATTCTCTCCTTAGAACACACTGTTCATCATTTCCTACAATCAAGTTCTTCCATCTCCGTCTAATAATCCGCACCCTCTGAAAATCTATCCTGAAATCATCCTCTCGTTGCTGGTGCCGCGGCTCTCACCATCTCCCACCGTCCGTTATTAGTTTACCCCTCCTTGGGAGAAAGTCATCCAGCTCCCGCCTGATCGCTAATACCCTGGAACCGAAGAAGTGTCACGTCGATATCCAGCAGTACAGACAAACAGGAAACTCTTTGAGTTTAGACCCCGGTCAGTGCTGGGTGAGTTGTCGCTTGCAATCGTGGTAGCGGATCGTGAACCACATTGCTTTTTCTTCACAAATATTATCTTATTCCCAATCATGCTGTTCCGGAACAGGTTCCGGAACATGTTATAATTAACCAGCTGTGATCTTTTTTATTTATTTGTCTTTGTCTACATGACCTTCAGTGCTGTTGCCTGATCTCCATTATTTTTGACATTCTTGGAAACCTGCACCCCATGGCAGAAAATTGAACCTGTACTCGGGATTGTTTGATTGTGATAATAAATGGATGAACACAAAGGTCCGGCCAGAAACCAGGCTAACCGTGCGTTCCAGCAGCTTTCCACTGGCAATAACCACCTTCTCCGCCCGCCTCGACCCTCCCACATTGGCCGGACCTCCGTTCCTTCACCACCGACAGCGTCATTCACCGCACCTCATCCTCTGTCAATTCTAGCGGCTCTTGCTCGTCGACGTCTCTTCTGTTCCCTATCCGAGGTTCTGAGGTTCTGAAAGTCCTCATTCCACATATCCGACTTGACTTGCTCCGTCACTGCGATCGAACTCTCCCGTCCCCTCCCATTCACCGCTCCTGTCTCCTGCCCCGGGTCTAGACAAGACAGCCTTCAACCCAATTCCATCCTCTTTTCCAGAGCATCAGATTTACTCCAATTTTCAAAATGGTTGTAGCAACTATTAAGTACGTTTCCTCCTCCAAACTCTCGCTATATCCTAATACCATCTCCAAAAAAAAAAACTCCCCCCCAGTTCTCCACCCCTTTTCGAGGCGTATCAGTCGTCCCTCTCTTCTTATCAGCAAATTGCTAACTCCTTGGTTCTTCGACAGGTGTGTCGTGGTTGGTGATGGTGCAGTCGGCAAAACCTGTCTCTTGATTTCATACACAACGAACAAGTTCCCTTCAGAATACGTGCCTACGGTCTTTGATAATTATGCCGTGACTGTCATGTAAGTGAGCTTTAGGCTTTTCGCCCAACTTTCGCAATAACGCCCACTACATCTGGCTTCTCTTCACTCTCTACAATACATCAAATCATCCCTTTTTGCGCCCTTTTTCGCTGCCCAAAGTTTCGACTTCATAGCATAGCTGTCTATTTCACCTTTACTGATCGCGAGTGTTAAATAGGATTGGCGATGAGCCTTACACCTTGGGATTGTTCGACACCGCAGGTCAAGAGGATTATGATAGGCTCCGTCCTCTCTCATACCCGCAGACCGATGTATTCCTGGTCTGCTTTTCCGTGACTTCCCCCGCATCTTTTGAGAACGTGCGCGAAAAGTGGTTCCCTGAAGTTCACCACCATTGTCCTGGTGTTCCGTGCTTAATTGTTGGAACGCAAGTCGATCTCCGCGACGATCCAGCCGTCCGTGAGAAGCTGGCTCGACAGAAGATGCAACCGATCCGCAAGGAAGATGGCGACCGCATGGCCAAAGACCTGGGCGCGGTGAAATATGTCGAATGTTCCGCATTGACCCAGTACAAGCTTAAAGATGTGTTTGATGAGGTATGTTTTAACCCTGGCAGATATTTGGTCTCAGCAATAGACTTATTTTCGCTTCTAGGCCATTGTTGCTGCTCTTGAACCCGCCCCTAAGAAGCGGTCGAGGTGCGTTTTGCTATAAATAATCACCATATATTGTGGAACAGGCCAGTGCTTGATTAAAAGAAACTGGGCCCCTTGTTCACAAATTTGGTGACTTCCGCATGTGCCGTGTGATGTCAGGACGGCTGGCGTTTTTGAAATGAGCTTGATTCGAAACAAATGATGACTTTCGAGTTATACGATGACTTTCAGCTCTTCGGGGTTGGTTGTTCCTTGAACGGAGATATAGTTACTCCCCGTGGGATGGGTTTCTGCATAATGTTTGTTATGTAGGGTTCTAGCCCCATTCGCTGCCTGCTTCTGACGGCCCATTATCCATACACTTCTGAACGCTGCCATGAAAACATTATACGAACAAGCAGGCCTCGTCTCTCACCAACTTATTTTTTTGGCCTCTTATTCCGTTCCACTCCATACGTCTATTATTCCTTTGGTATCTAGCCCTATATTATCCTGATTACCCCACTGTGCTCTTCCCGTTGCCGCCTTTCCATTTCCTGTCTATGTTCACTCCTTTCATCACAGCTCTCATCGTCTGAACTTGGCGTTGGAAGTCGAGGCGTCCTGTTTTGGTTGGCTCCTGGTTCGATATTTTACTTTATGCTCTCAATTTGCTGTCATGCCAAATGCATTTACTGTGCGATTTTAACACCCCCAGTTTCACCGAGACTTGGATTAGATAGCACAGGGATATATCCAATGTGAAGACCAAAGTCTCTTGATTCAACTTCTTTGCGCTAGGACATACTTTCTTGATTGATGCAGGTTTGACAATGGCACTATATGACATAGCAAATGCTTTATAGTTTTAAGGATTCGCTTGTTATAGTAGCCTTGGCTCCTTGATTGGCACAGAAGAATCCTATGTCAGGAGACCAGTCGGCCGGGATTGCTCACCGAGACCGAATTGTTGCTTTATGTCGTTATTTTACTAAACTGCCAGTTTGTTCATGGGTTGGCTTTGATTTCGTTATCTTTATCGACATGCCTCATGTATCTCATTCATTTACAGCTCGTCCTTGTGTCCAGACTCCTTGGTTTCGGGCTCAGGCTCCGTTTCCTGAGCGGTAACACCCTCCTTGCGTCCGTACCACCCACCCAGATCCTCGCCCGCACCTGCTTTGACCATACTGGTGATGATCTCGTAGGCAACCTGTGCAGCAGCCAGGGCAGTCGTTTCACCCTTGTTGTCATAGCTAGGCGACACCTCAACAATGTCCGCGCCAACAATATTAAGTTTTTCGATACCGCGCAAAATGCGGATGAATTCACGGGTTGTCCAGCCACCCGGTTCTGGTGTTCCAGTTCCAGGTGCGGTAGCGGGGTCAAGGACGTCGATGTCGACGGACAGGTAGACGGGTTGTTCTGAGTCGAGTCCAATGCGCTGGATAATCTTATTCACAACGCCCATTGGTCCGCCCAGTTCGTCGATATCGTCAGCGTGGATACGCATGAATCCTTGCTCGGGCGTTCCAGGTGCGGTGTAGTCGCTGTCATCGATGCCCGTAAGCCGGGTGCGCAAACCGGCATGCGCAGAGGTCGAATTGCAAATAAGACCCTCACGACTGGCCTTGTGGAAAAAGCTACCGTGGTTAAACGCCGACTGCTCAGATTGCCAGTACGCCGAGTAACGCACGGGGTTCCAGGTGTCGAGGTGGGCATCGAAATGCAAGACCGTGATGGGTTTTTGGTAAATCTGATACAAAGCGCGGAGAGCCGGGAGCGCAACGCTGTGATCACCGCCAAGGGTGACAAGCTTGGATTTGCCAGTGGAGATGCCCTTCGTGCCGTACTCGGATGAGGCGCTGGTGATGGGCGTGCGGGAGCCTAGCTCGAGGAAGGCTTCGTACATCTGGCGCTCAGCGACACCATTGTCGAACGGCGTGATGGGAATGTCGCCGCAGTCCTTTATGGTGGCCCACGAGCTGTAAGGGTTGATCCCCGCACGAGTGTTGAAAGAGGTGCCGGCCATTTGCCGAGCGCTGGCGGCGCGAATTGCGCGCGGGCCGAATCGAGCTCCTATGTGGGTTGAATGTATTTAGTATACAGGCGAAATTAGTAGATTGAGAGCCTGGATATACCTGGTCTGTAGCTAACTGCGGTGTCGAAGGGTGCGCCGATGACGGCGATATCGTACTTCTCTTCCGGCTCAACGAGGCACTTGACGGGCTTCAAGTGCGCGAAACTGGCATGTCCGGTGAAAGACCACTAGATCACTTGTCAGTACTTCAGATATTTATAGTGCGAGACTTGGATTGCCTACCTCTTGGTTCCATTTCTTCAGGAGCTCCTCACGCACATGCTGTGGAATGTCTTCATGCTCATGATGAGCGTGGGACAGGGCGGTCCCGGCCAGTGCCAGCAATCCAACCCAGGTCAGCTTCATTATGATTAACCCGATATACGCAGGAAAGAGCAAGTATATAGCTAAAGAAAGACTGCGGCAAGTAAAAGAAAAGAAGGAAAGATCTTACCTAAATATGCCTGCGTATGGACTGTTGTGGAGCAAGAGGAAGAGCGCCGTATGGTAAGTCGGTCATGGTTTGTTCATGCAGTCTCTTATCGATAGTAGCGGAGCCTCCGATTGGCCGCACCCGCCACCCTCTTCGGTGCCTTGCTGCCTGGCGGACTTGACGTCGTTCAGACTTTCCTCTTCGGGCCATCGCGATTCTTCACTCCTCATAGAACAATCAATCATCGTCCTACACCTTCGTTGACACTACTGCCTCAGCGCACGCGTTTGCTCCTCGGAGTCCGAGCTACAATATTACCCCAACACCCCCTCTATACCTGCCGTCGATATTGAAGAAAAGAACAAGATGCCATGCGGCGGGTTGTCGTAACAGGTCTTGGTGCGGTGACACCCCTAGGTGTAGGTGAGTGATAGTGCTGTTCCAATACCAGGCAATTAAACATGTCCTGTATCCCTTTCCCGCTCGGCTATCGTTTACTCCGCTTGCAAACATTTGGCCTACGCCGCAGTCACCGACGAGGGTTCTCCTGCGTTCTCCCAGTGTCTTCTCCAACGTCTCCACTTCTCGAAGAGGAAGGTCGGCGACGGGAGCTGGGGCTGGAGTGAACATGGATGCCGTGGTTCCGAACAAGGTAGCTGGATACGATACGGCGCTGTTCCTTGTTTTCTCAGATTCACATGGCTCGGCTGTTTTGCTTGCATGCGTTTTTGTTGTGATCGTTCATTGGTCCTTTATTCAACTACTAAACGGCTCATACTATAGGGGTGCGTCGGACTTGGAAGCGTCTGTTAGATGGCCATTGCGGTATCGTCAATGTAAAGGATAGAGATGCTAGATTTGCAGACTTGCCTTGTCAGATTGCCGCGGTAGTCCCAAGTGGCCATCGCGCCGAGGGCCGATGGATGGCGTCGGAGTGGTTGAGTAGAGATGTAAGTATGTGCCTAGACATGTTTGTTTATTCGCCTTTGCCATGTCAGGATCGACTTGAAATTGCTAGGCATAATATTCGGATGCTAAATGGCGACAGGATGAGCGCAAGATGGCGCGATTCGCCCAGTATGCGCTGGCTGCTTCGGAGGAGGCGCTAGAGGATGCGGGATGGAAGCCAACAGCTGTTGACCAGCTAGAAGCCACAGGGATTTGTCTAGGGTCTGGTATTGGCAATTTCGACGAGATATATGATACCGTTGTAGCGTACGAGAAGGGAGGCTACCGAAAAGTGTCTCCTTTGTTTGTGCCGAAGCTATTGATCAACCTCGGAGCCGGCCATATATCTATGAAGTATGGTTTTATGGGCCCTAACCATGCAGCCACGACTGCATGTACGACTGGGGCGCATTCGATTGGTGATGCTGCACGTTTCATCTCTTGCGGGGATGCAGATGTGATGCTTGCCGGCGGAGCGGAGTCCTGTATCCACCCGCTTGCAGTTGGAGGATTTGCGAGGGCACGCAGTCTGGCGACGAGCTTCAACAACAGTCCTGAGAAGTCATCACGGCCTTTTGATGCGGACCGTGAAGGGTTTGTGGTTGGTGAGGGTGCGGCAATGTTGATTCTAGAGGTATATGTGACTCAGAACACTTACAATCAAGATTTGAGCTAACTCGAACCTTTACAGGAGCTAGAGCATGCCAAAGCTAGAGGCTCTCACATATACGCAGAAGTGAGAGGTTATGGGTGCTCTGGCGATGCCCATCATATGACAGCCCCGAAAGAGAACGGAGCAGGGGCTTTGCTGGCAATGAAGAAAGCTTTAAAGAACGCTCGATTTGAGCCATCCATTATTGACTATGTCAACGCCCATGCGACGTCGACCATCGTCGGTGATGCAGCCGAGAACGCGGCAATCAAAGCCTTTCTCCTTGGCCCCGGGGGTAAACAGCAGGCTGCGGATGTGAACATCAGTAGCACCAAGGGAGCTATAGGGCATCTACTTGGGGGTGCGGGCGCTATTGAAGCTCTATTCACGACTCTCGCCATAAAAGAGGTCGGTTGTTCGTATAAATTTTATAGACTCAGCTAATTGGCTCCTAGAACGTGATGCCCCCTACCATTAACCTGGATCGTCTGGCTGAGGGCTTCGACTGTAATTACGCGCCAAACCAGGCCCAGGAACGTCGTATAGATGTGGCGTTAACAAACAGCTTTGGATTTGGGGGAACAAATAGTAGTCTTTGTTTTGCCAAGCATGACTTACCGGGTCTATGATATTTGTGCCCGTTCGTACACTACTAGACTTATATATAGAATTTTTATTGGAATAATCGAAGTTGCAAGGACCAGAAACGACAGCTAGCTGCAATAAATCCAACGACCTTATAATTAATATTAATTTGTGTTTTGTTTTTGTAGAAAAAGAACCAGCTTGGATAGTGGTACTGATGATGATTGATTTGGGAGATTTTGGTGGCATGGATAGAAAACCATTTATTTCAGTTTGACCTCCAACATTCCCTTGAAAACAATCAGTTGAAGCTTGTCGAACCACCAACAAACACCGAATCCAGTGGTAATGACGCCAAAGTCTTCAATTCTCTATCAAAACACATCCAACACAGTTTTCCTAATCGACATTCCAGCATCCATTGCACTAGCACAAGAATTATCACTGGAACCACAACCTGGTGTACCTAGCGACAATATCAGTTTCGTCTCCACAGAGCCACCGAAAAAGAAACAAAGACGCATTTTATCTACTCCAGCATTAAAAACACCATACCCGGCATCTTTTGAGCCGAAATCAGAGGCCGCGCGGGCGAGGGTTCTCGCACGAATCCCGCGTTCTGAAATTCATGAGGAGATATCACCTTTATTGTCCAATGCCCTAGAAGATATTCGGAATCATTATTGCCAGGGCTCAGAATGGTATCTTCCACGATGTCTTTTAGAAGATGATGAATCTAAAGGGCGTGATCAAGAACTCGACCGCTCCGCGTGCCTGGCCAGAATTCGATCTGGGGAGAGCGACAGGGGGAAGAAAAGAAGGCCGCAGGATAGAAATGCCACAAGGAATGAGCATGACGAAGAAGACGATAAATTCCATCCTGAATATTTTCCTCTGCCGTCTAGCCAGCAAGGCTTTGCAATCGCTCAATCTCCATTCCAACCACCTCTGATTCTATCGCCGGGGAGAAACAGGTTCAAAGACGAAGCGGAGCTATGCAACAACCTTGTGAAGAATACATCCCCGGAAACAGCAGTTGTCGAAATTCACAGCTTATTCGCGGCTAAACCGCTTAAAAACTTTAAGGTTGATACTGAGAAACAAGAGTGCACTCGGGTCTTCATCATACCGCCTCTGTCGAATTTCATACTATGCAACCTACCAATATCGACACCCTTAACGGGGATGGGACACGACAATCCAAGTCCGATTCCAAGTCTGGCCTCAAACCAGAAGTTTAACCTTATTGTAATGGATCCGCCGTGGTCCAATAAATCCGTACGCCGCAGCGGCTATTATGAAACAGGGACCTACCTTGATAGTGAGCTGCTGATGGCGTATATATGCGCCGTACTCACTGTGCATTCATATTCGCCTTTACAGAGTGGAGATCTAACTCCTGAAAATAAATCCAACTTATCTATTGCCGCTATATGGATTACCAATTCGGCCAGAGCAAGGGAGGCAGCATACGGTGGGCTTGCTGGGGCAGGCTTCTCCGTTTGCGAAGAATGGGTATGGGTTAAGACGGCCGTTGATGGCCAACCAGTAACGCCAATCGAAGGTGTCTGGCGCAAACCATATGAAATCCTCGTTATTGGGAAGAGGAAGCCTGGCTCTATAACCAGAGCCCCGGGTGATGGCATTTTGAGGAGGGTTATTGCTGCTGTCCCTGATGTTCATTCTCGGAAGCCGAATCTAAAGGAGGCATTTGAGAAAACTTTCTTCACGCCAGAGCCTAATACCGCTCCTGTGCACTATTCGGCGCTGGAGGTATTTGCTCGCAATTTGACGGCAGGATGGTGGGCTTGTGGTAATGAGGTGCTTAAATTTAATTCAGAAAACTGGTGGTCTGATGAGTGACAACTCGTATATCGAGGCATTGGTTTTGATTTATGAGATATGTATTAGATCACAATGTGTTTTGTGGCTCCATGCGGTGGGATCGGTGTCACTTATGTGGGTTTACGTTCCAGATATTCACTAGAACTCAGTATAGTCCACAAAATCTAGTTAAACCAGATCAATCAAAAACACCCCCTAGACTAACAAGGCTGAATCTCAGGTCTGGGTTCCCCCCCTTTGCCTCAACCTCCAAGAACCGTCTAACCCCCAGCTCCAGCGCCTTCTCACTCAACGCATCCTCCTCAGGTTCAAGCACACCACGCTCTAGAGGTCCCTTTCTCCGCCCATCAAGCTCCCACAACTTTCCATCAGCACCTTTAACAAATGCTACAAAGTGCAAATCCACATCATCCTCGGCCCCAGGTGCCTGCGTATCGCCCAATTTTGCCGCGTCCGCATGCGCACTCTCCAACGCCTTGCTCTCATATAACAGATCTGCCCTCTGGTTAGGCTCTAACCCCTCTGCATCTTTCAATAGACCCTCTAAATCTGAACCCGGAAGAATATGATTCCTCGCCTCGCCATTCGACACGGCATGGAGGAGACCGATAAGCCCGCATGCATTCCGAATCGTCTGTTTAAACCACGTTACGGGCTCTTGGGGCCCTGAACCGGAGTACTCAGGTAGGGGGCCATCTTCTGTAATGCGAGATGATTCGTAAGTTTTCGAGACGGGAAAGACGAGGAGGAGGGCATGCGAGGGGCGAGGGACTAGCGCGAGGAGATCGGGTTCATCGAGCGAGAACACGTCTGTGAAGCCTAGAGACGGGGAGAGTCCTAGTTGATGAACTAGGTGGGACATCACTTCTGGGTTGTTTTCTGTTCGTTTTGGCAGGTTAGTTTTATTGTTTGACGGGGGCTGGCGATTTAAGTGAGGGGGGACGAACCGAGGGGCACGAAGGCCTTGTTGTTTTTAGAGACGTCTGGGTTCTCTGCCATGATTGCAGATTTCTGTTGTCGGATTGAGAATTGGGATATCAGGTTTAAGAGATAGGTTGAAATAAAGAGTAAACTATGCCAGACTGCAAGTGTGGCGTTGGAGAGTTGATGAGGGGAAAGAAGTGTTGCGGGGTTTGAAATTGATCCGCGGCGGCTGAAAAGCGGAGCGCAGTGAGAACAAATTAACTACGTAATAGGTAGCCGTTCGTCAGATATGACAAGTAGATAAACATGCCAGTTATTCGTCATTCAAAAGTGACTATTCTAATTGTCGCCCTTCAGCTTCTTTCCCTGTTTGAGGGGAGCATAGATATCGGTCCATAGCTCACTCGCTTCTCCCAAAAAGTAGGTCAGGCCGACATCTGCCATGCTCGCGTTCTCATCCCCAGAAATGGTCTCCAACTGCGAGATTATATTTTCCAAACCGAATGCCTTCCCAGTGGCCTGCGTGGCACCCGCCTCGAGCATGACATTGACGATATGGATATGGAAATGATAGTATGTCGGTTGATCTAGGGTACGTTAGCAGCCACACACCTGTGAGAAAATAATAGAAAAAGTCCACATACAATGTACGTAGAGCTTCAACTGGTCCTCCTCCAGCCCTGGATACATCTTGACCGTCCCCTCAAGCACCCGCTGTCTTAGGTATTTCAACCAAGGCACGTGCTTCTTCTTCAAATCCCTCAGACTCCAAATATCGCGTCTCTGTACCAATGCTAGCAAATGTAAGGACCCTAACGTCTTTCTATCCCAGTTCAAATCGGGAAGCATCAAGAACGCATCCTCCGGCCCATGCCCATCGTCCCGTAAGATGACATCCTCTTGCTCCGTGCGCCCCTCAAGGATATTGAACACCCAATTCAACCGTCCCTCCTCTCTCTTTGCCTGCATGTAAGGCCGTATGTAGTCGCTGTAGATCTCTGGCGTCTCAGTCACCATGCGCAGCACCTGGTCGGAGTATTTCTTGACATGTTGTTCCGTGCACGGCCAAATGAGGTTGAGCTTAAGGTCGTGCGATGGATGTCCATCAGCATCTATTCCAGAGGAAGCCAGATACCACCGGTAAATATCATTATCACCGAGGTTGTTAACGCGAGTTATTGACGAGTGGAAGGCCTTTAGAGCCCCGGGGGACTCGGTTGCGAATGCGGTTCGTTCGGCGGTGAGGATACCTTGTTGACCATCTATAGACCCGAGGATGGCAATTCGGCGGCCATTTTGGTCTGGGGAAGTACTTTGTTAGCTCTTTGTTCTGAGGTTGCTATCAGTGGGGTAGGGGTATATTGCGGGGTTTGGTGTTGTTTATCGGGGCACATACCTTGCTTGAGAAGTCTGGTAACCTCAAATGTTGAGATAAGCCCTTCAGGTGCAAGCCTCTTATCGCTTTTAGATTCCATTATATGAATTTGGGGGTATGCCATGTAGATATTTTATAAAGTTGAACTTCAAAATCTCGTCGGCTTCTGGCAGAATAATGGGGCGGTCAGGCTTATCTATATCCATATCAACGCCCTACAGGGGAAAAATAAAATAAAAAGAGAAAGAGCTCAAATCTGAATTACGGTTGGTTTTCGAGGCTTCATATATATACACACGAACATGACAAATAAGATCCGTGCTATAGAGATTGGAGAAGTCAAAATGGAGAGACCGTGGCCATTGGTTCAGGGTTGTAGAATTGTCGTGAGTGTTTCCTTTCTCGTGCCTTGTGTCCGCAAGGGTGCGATTTACGTGAGGCCTGGAGCTGACGGCCAGCATCATACCACTGGAGCCGAGATCCCCGTGTTTAGATGATGCATTTGCTTGATCGCAAATGACCTGCTGTTGGATCCCTGCCGTAGTGATTGGGAGGTGGGGTTTACGTTTTGCGGCGCAGCTAGACCCTCAATATGTAGACTTCATATACTCGAAACAACGAGCTTAAATCAATCTGTTCATGTAGACTTCTTTCCCTCGCCACCCTCAGTATGTATCTGATCGTATAGTTAGCTTTAGGATCAGTGCCAGAAGAGACGAATAGCATACCGCTTCAGCGAACTTCACCCACTCTTCTACTCCCTTGACGAACGTATCATCGGCAGCAGGAATTGTTTCGTGTCCCCAAACCACGTATTCGTCAAATGTGGTTTGCTTCTCTAATACCTTAACTGGCTCATCTTGTTCACCTTCCTCGTTCGTACTTTCGCTGTTCGTAACTTTTGGCATCTCACGATCTGTATGCGTCGCGACAACCCCTGTTAATATGTTAGCAAAATACAGCTTGACGGGTCTTGTGAATAATTATAGCTCACCCTCATACCCCTCAGGGATCTGAACCTGTCTGCCTCGTAGCCTCCGGCCCCGGAAGTATGCCGTCTGAAGATCTTTGTCTTATAACTAGTGAGTAGGTGGGTTGGATTGAAGGGGGCTCTGCTCACCCTTATCATCTGCAATAGGCATCCAGTATCTGTTGAGCGATTTCACAGGTCCATCATGGTGGATCCGGCAGGGAAGAATATTTGGTGTGCAATTGCGAAGAGGCTCATTGTCTTTGGTGTCTGTGCCTTGTTGTTTGGGTTGAAGGGCAAACATTGCAATTGGTAGCGGACGCAAATGAAGGGACGGAATGATAATAGCACAATTAATGTGGCAATTCGTATACGTTCACAGATGGCTCCTGTGTTTTGGCGGCTTGAACGTCTTCGTGGTAATGTTGGCTTGGTTGGTGTCCAGAGGAAGACGCGACGCGATGAGCGGACCGCGTAAAGTGGCAGCGCAGCCGGAGCCGAAGGCTGGGCGGCCGGGCTACTCGACCCTAAGCAACAAGAACAATATCTACGACGACAACGCTAGTATCAAGCGAATGGAGAGATGGTGACTATTACAGGTAGAATACTAGACTTCCCCTCCACTCGAAACTACTTGTCTCGTGCAAGGGCACACTTCTCCGGCTGGTGCATTGAGATAGCTTTCATAGCATTTGCTTTTATGCCATTTGCCCAAGAGTGTTTTTTGCATTTATCTTGTTCTTCAAAAATAAATAATCTCTTTCTCTCACCTTAGGATCTTGAACTATTCAACGTATAGGGATATTTGAGTTACACAAAATAATTGGCAATTCGCCAGCATTTATATATCAAACTCATCATTTCTAGGGTATATCGAACACAATATCAAATACATCCTCACCTCTTACGGGTCTTCTTTTTCTTTTTCTTCTTCTTCTTCTCATCCTCCCCGTTCTCCTTGCTCTCTGGCGCAACTCGAACAGGCCATTTCTTCAAATGTTCTCGTTCGAACTCATCTTTGTCTCGTCGATACAAGAGCATTGTAGCCTTCGCATCCTCCACACTTGAATGGGCGCCGTCTTGTATTTTCAGCCCCAGGAACTCTGACGCTAGGATCTTCAATCGAGGGGAACCTCCCCCGGCAATTTTCCGATATGGGGGGTGTTTGCTGGTATCTCTGATATCGCGCTTGGGGTGACTGAGTAAAAGAGCATCTAAGTCGTTTCGGAGAGCATGTCCCACTAGTATCCGTCCATCAAGTATCTCCGCGACCTCTTTCTGCACTTGTTCTAATGACCTGGCTTCTACCATATGCTTGGGCGTTATTCCACTGACGTATGTTCGCCAATCAGTAACCATCTCCTTGGGTCGTACATATGAGTCGTATACTTGATCACCGTTGTAGTTGACGATACTGATGCGGGCAAGGGCTGAATCGTTGTCTGGGTTTGGTCCAATTCCAACCATCTCACAATCCACCGCTATATATTTCCCTATTTCGACGCTATAATCGATTGTTAGTGATCATTCTTTATTGAAGAGGGAAGCAGGTTGGTGTAAATATGGGAATCAGAGAACTAACGTTGAAGAACGGCCCTCATTGTCCTTTGGAAATGCTGCCGTGGAGCTTTTCCGGGATATACTTTGAGTTTCCTTCCCAACTCCGTCGGGGGATGCTTGAGACATTCTCTTCCGTTTATTGGAGGTATGTGCACTTTGTGAGGTGCGTTTTCCTCCTTTCCCTGCTTCTGTAACGGTTTTCCGCTTCTTCACTAGATCATTCTGAGTCTCGCGATCGGATCGTTTGCGCTTTGACGTGGGGGCCGTGGAGACGTCCTTCTTCAAGGTCTCCTGCAGCTTTTTCCAATTACTGGAGAGCGATTTTAGTTCCATTCCAATGTGAGCTGGGTGCTATCGCATGGTGAACTTGGTCGGAGTCGGAGAAAAAGAGCAGAAATAATCATTCATGTTTGCGGAGCCACTCAGCCAACTCACTCCGCGCTAAAAAGCTAATTGGCCTCGGCTTGACCCACCCGCCGACATACAACTGCCCAACATCGATATTCTTGAACGGCCTTGAAAAACTTGTTCGAAGCTCAGAACCATTATCATTTATGGTTCGCGTTGTCACATTCATGCGCCCGTGTATTGGAAGTGGTACAAATATTGGTGATTTTGAGAATTACTTTTATTAACCAGCCTGATATCTAGCGGAACCATATAAACTAAAGCAATCATAACCCAGGCACCTTGAAGTCTTTGTAGGTCCACTTCTCGGTCACTTCCCTCTTCGCCTTTCTCGGTTGCGATACGGGCTTCCGGGATTCGAGCTTGCCCTGGACAATCAATGTACGGAATCGATCGTCGAGAAGATTTCCCTCTGGCTTCAACAGACGCAGCGAATCTTGCAGTTCGTCCGGTAGGACTACCTCGGTCGGCTTTTCCGGGGCCCTGCTATCGTTAGTAAAATATATATATATAACAAGGTTATTAAAGCCAGAAACGCACCTTATTTTACCCCCCAGTGGCTTCCGGCGCAGCGTAGTATCGTCACCCTCATCGGAAGATTCGTCAGCGTCACTGTCCCGTTTTTGACGTTCCAATTCCTGGAGCTTGAAGCGCTCTGAGATAGCCTTGGCTTCAGCAACTTGGGCCTCCTTTTTCGTTTTCTGTTCCTCCCATTTGGCTTGTCTTTCGGCCTCCTTTCTTCGCTTTATCTTGTTTCTCTGTGTTTTCGTCTTTCTCTCGGGGCGCTTCTTGTTCAGCCATTCTGGCTTCTCATACTCACTCTCGAAGCCTTCCCAAGCGCTTTCATCATCAGATTTGGCTTCACCGTCGTCATCCTTGGCCTCATCAACCAAGCGCTGTCGCTCTTGTTCCTTACGCTCCTCCTCTAACCGCTTCTTCTCCTCTTCGACGGCCCTTTGCCCTTGTACTCGTAGCAGTTCATCCCAATCTTCGAAAGTCGGATTGTAACTTGTACCAGCATTTGGCGCTCGTACGGAAGGAACCGCCTTTCCATCGGCAGTCAGGGAAATAGGAGCTCGCTTCAGAGTTTCCGGGGCCACCTTTGGTTTAGGCTTTTCTAGATAATCGAACTGAGGATCGTCAAGAGGCGTCGGGTCCGCTTCGTCGGCCCAAGGATCGTAGAAACCACCATCACTTGGCTTATCCATTGGGTTACCCTCTTTGGCCACCTGCTTCAAGCGCTTCCATTCTTTGCGGCTAACCCAGTCGCTCTTATGCTTCTTGGTCTTCGGCTCGATAACGCCGTCGGTCACGTTGGAGCTCCCACGTTTCCGTGTGTCCACTGCCGCTATAGCGGATCTTTGTGCGAGGATTTCATCTGCTTTCAGATGCTTTTTGTGTTGTTTTCGGTATGCGTCGCGAATCTCCGACGAGCCCTTCTTGTCAATGACGAACAATTCCTCGGAAGGTTTCTCTGCTAAAACACCTCTGTAATCGATCAGTCAAAACCGGTCCAGTAGGGTATTATTGGCGAACATGCGGAATCATACCCTTTGATTTCTTCATCCTTCAACAGACGAAGACCTTCTTGAACCTCCGAAACGTCCACATTTTTTCTCCAGGCCCTCTTGCCCTTTCTCGAGGGCTGGCCGTATTGACGAGGTGCTTCCACTGTATTTGACATTTTGACGAACCCTCCGAGCGGAAAGTTAAGGAAAAATTCGTTTGTTGGGGCCCTTACTAGTGTTTGTACATCCTCGAACTTTTTTTATCTTTTCGATCAAAAATCTGGATCTGCTTACATAACATGGCGGGGAGACTAGTTAAGTTAGCAAATGCGCCTACCGCGCTAAACCACTTTCGCGCCTATCGCGGACACTAAGTTCAGTTGATGAGCTTTCTTCATCACCGTCCATCTGCGCGCAGGCTGCTCTCGACACCGGCCAGCCCGCACTTATCGGTTACAGATTATCACGCCAGATTCAGGCAGAAAATATTCCATTCCGTGGACCGGTATAAGGACGGCTTCGTCGAGTCTCCGCAGCCATGCCGGTCGTCAAAGGAGGTGTCTGGTAAGTTGAAAACCGAAAGTCGTGAATTATTTTCCTTGAGCTCCCAACTAACTTACTTATAGGACCAATATTGAGGACGAAGTCCTTCGAGCGGCGGTACGATCAAACTCACCCTTTTCAAGATGGAATTCATCTGGCTTTTACCATCGCGACGTTACTGATGTTATGTGTTTCTAGGTCTCGAAGTATGGTCTAAACCAATGGGCGCGTGTGTCTTCGTTGTTGGCAAGAAAGACCCCGAAGCAATGTAAAGCGCGCTGGGTTGAATGGCTCGATCCCGGTATTAGGAAAGTGGAATGGTCTCGGGAAGAGGATGAAAAGTTGTTGCATCTGGCCAAGTTGATGCCAACGCAATGGCGGACGATTGCACCGATCGTAGGTCGCACGGCAACTCAGTGCCTAGAACGTTATCAAAAACTTTTGGATGAAGCGGAGGCCCGTGAGAACGATGAGCTCGGCTTGGGAGGCCCTGGCGCGGAAAGCGCTGCCCCAAGTGCGGACGACGTCAGAAGGCTAAGGTATGCACTAGGAAGCTCACTCTCGAGACCTACTCTTACTAATTGCCTATAGACCCGGTGAACTAGACCCCGACCCAGAATCCAAGCCCGCCCGCCCGGATACTATCGATCTTGATGAAGATGAGAAAGAAATGTTAAGCGAGGCCCGAGCGCGTCTCGCAAATACGCAGGGTAAAAAGGCGAAGCGTAAGGCTCGAGAACGACAGCTTGAAGAATCACGACGACTCGCTGTGCTTCAGAAGCGCCGTGAACTGAAAAACGCCGGCATCAATATCAAGGTTGTTACGCGAAAACAGGGCGAAATGGACTATAATGCGGATATTCCGTTTGAAAAGCCAGCGGCACCTGGGTTCTATGATACTGGCGAAGAGGAGGCCCGCAATGAGAGACAGCGTGAAATGTTCGATCCTCGAAAGCAACAACTAGCGAACAAACGCAAAGGAGACCAAGATGAAGACGCTGAACGGAAGAAGAGGAAGAATGATAAGAACAGTAACTCTGCTGCTTTTGCGGCTGCTGCCCGGGCAGGCCAGATGCAAAAGATCAGAGAAGCGGAGCAAAGCAGCAAGCGGAGAGCATTAGTCCTTCCCAGCCCCCAAGTCAGTGAAAGCGAAATGGAGGATATCATCAAGATGGGTATGGCAGGAGATAAGGCCAGCAAGATGGTGGGAGAAGAAGAAGGAACCCGAGGACTACTTGGAAACTACTCCGCCATGGTTGGAGGGACACCAATCCGAACACCTAGAGCCCCCCCGGAGGAAGATCACATTGCAAATGAGATTCGAAATATCAGGGCCTTAACGGAAACCCAATCTTCTCTTTTGGGTGGTGAAAATACACCCCTGCATGAAGGAGGATCTTCTACAGGTTTCGACGGCATCGCTCCCCGCCGTCAGGAGATTGTCACACCGAATCCCATGGCTACACCTTTTAGGCAAGGGAACGCGGTTGGTGCAACACCTGTGCCAGGAGGTGTCGGGCCTGGGGCTACTCCACTACGGACTCCTCGCGATCACTTTTCACTAAACAAGGAGATCGACGGTGGTCAACTCATTGGAAGCACGCCTAAGGACATGAAGATACAAGAGAACCTCGCGCGGCAAAGCATCCGCGGTAGGTTGGCAGCGCTTCCAAAGCCTAAGGAAACCGAGTGGGAGCTCGAAGAGCTGCCCTCTGAAACGGCGGAGCCAACTGCAATGGCAGAATACTCAGAGGAGGATGCGGCAGAACGAGACAGGAAAGAAAGGGAGGCCCAGGCCAAAGCTGCAGCAGCTGAGCATAAACGCCAGACACAGGTCTACCAACGCGCACTCCCTCGACCAGTTGTGCTCGATATCGATACATTAATGGAGCGTGTGTCGCATGTAACAGACCCAATTCCTAACTTGATTGCTAAGGAGGCGGCCCTTCTTATCGCCAACGATGCAAGCAAGTTCCCTGTTCCTGGCGCCAAAATCGGAGGCAAAGCCCGGAAACTGGAGCGGCTCGATGACCGATGGTTAGAAGAAGCTCGTGCGGCCATTACAGCTGAGGTGTCATCCGGAAAGATGCAGGAGTGGGCGGTTGAGTTCGACACCCAGTGGGGCTCTACTCGTTCGAACACTCTACCTGGTCTTTCTAACTACGTTGACGAGGACGAGGACCCATATCAGCAAGAACAGCGGATGATTGGCGTCTTTGACAATGTACAGGCATCTCTACTCGCAACTGCAGAGCAGGGAAATAAACTTGAAAAGAAGCTGGCACTGCATTACGGTGGATATCAAAACCGGGCGAAGACACTACGGACAAAGGTCACGGAAGCCCACACAGCCCTGGATAAGTCGAAGAATGAACTAGACGCTTTTCGCACACTCCAGATATCAGAAGAGGCTGCGATTTCAAGGCGACTTGAGAAACTACGGGAGGATGTCGCCTTTGTCATGCGCAGAGAACGAGAGGCTCAGGAACAATACCGATCGAGAAAGGAGGAGCTGGACGAACTGGTTGCTGGCACAGGAGGCATGGTGAATGGTTGGCATTGAAAGTGAGGCGTGGGAATATGGAGGCTATTACTGTATTTCACGATGTATTCTAATTCTTCTCATTTCCCACATACTATAAGTAGTAAGATTTTGATGGTAACATGCCATTTTACTATATCCACCTCACTCCTCTCTGTTCCGAGTAACGATGGTACATCCAGGGAACCTAAAACGGACAACCAAAAAGCTTGAGAGGCAAAAACTTGAAAGGCGGTCTCCCGCCCCCTTCCGTCACTCAAATCCTCCATCAATCGCCTCAAGGAGCCCTGCGAATCTTCATCGAAAGAATCATCCACAAAGTCATTTTATCAATATTTTCCATCTTGATAGACTGAGGATTGTTTCCCGATCACAATGGGCGTTAGAGATTCTCACGGGGAGGCCACCGGGACCCCGGACCCCGTTGAGAAGGGGTTCGCCACCCTCAACACCATCAGGTACGTGATTATGCTCGAAATAAATCTCATATTTGCAATTTTGAACCCCAGTTTTCCCGGTCGCATATGCTAACTGAAACATTAGAATCGGTGTGAAGGCCATGGTCCACAAGGTGCGTTCTGCATCCCCTTTTGCCAGTCGCTTGAAAAATCGGATCACGTGATTACATGAATGGATCGTTAACTGTGCCATAGGATGGAGAGTTAAGAAAAGCAGAGATTCTGTCTATAAAGCAGCGGAAAGATGGCCTTGCTTTCTAGTGAGCTACTCCGCAGTCTTATTCCAGGGGATACAGTTGACTGATTACATTTACAGCGTCCATTATGTTGATTTCAACAAACGACTTGACGGTATGTCGTGCATAGACGAACTTTCAAGGAAAGTACAGCTGACGATCTTGTTTAGAATGGGTCGCTTCTTCTAGACTCGACCTGTCTCAGGAAGTTGAATGGCCCCAGCCTGAGAAACCTGAAAAGAAGAAGACCGGCCCTGCCAACAAAGCTCCAAGCAAGAATAAGCGTGCTAGAGCTGGTAGTCGTGATGTCTCTGCAACCCCAGACCTTCTCACGGGCAAAAATGCCAATGTGGGAAAGGTACAGAGACCATCGAAAGCAGGCGGAAAGGAGAATCGTGGCGATGAAACACCCGTGAACTTGTTTCTATTGGGTTCAGAAGCGGTATCTGCAGATGGGACCCCGAAAGCCGACTCCGAGGACATTGATATGATGGATGTTAGCTTCACTGATGCAAAAGAAATCAAAGAGGAGGAACGGGCACTAGGGCTGCCGTCGCGTGAAGAAGAGATCGAGAGGTTGCGTACTAGTGGCAGTATGACACAGAACCCGACTGAAATTCACCGAGTGCGAAACCTTGATCGACTACAGATGGGCAAATACGATGTTGAGCCGTGGTACTTTTCTCCGTATCCTGCTTCCTTCTCCGACGCAGAGGTGGTGTACATCGATGAGTTCTGTCTGAGCTACTTCGACAACAAGCGCGCATTTGAGCGCCACCGCACCAAGTGTACACTCACACACCCTCCTGGCAACGAAATCTACCGAGATGATAACATCTCATTCTTCGAAGTAGACGGCCGCCGACAGCGAACATGGTGTCGCAACCTTTGTCTTCTCAGCAAACTCTTCCTTGACCACAAGACCCTTTACTACGATGTCGACCCTTTCCTCTTCTACTGCATGTGCACTCGGGACGACACCGGGTGCCACCTTGTTGGTTACTTCTCCAAAGAAAAAGATTCCGCGGAAGGCTACAATCTTGCGTGCATTCTGACACTGCCGCAATACCAACGGCGCGGTTTTGGAAGGCTCCTTATCTCCTTCAGCTACGAACTCAGCAAGCGAGAAGGGAAGCTCGGCTCCCCAGAGAAACCTCTCAGTGATTTGGGATTGCTGGGATATAGACAATATTGGCGTGAAACGCTCGTCGACATTCTCACAGATCCTGGGCGCGAGGCAGTGAGTGAGAACGACCTCGCGGTGTTGACATCAATGACCGAGAAGGATGTCCATGAGACGCTGGCTATATTCAAAATGCTTAGATATCACGTATGTTGCCCTTGTTGCACTCCCCGTCCTTTTCTCGCTGATATAGAATCTAACAAGCTCACAGAAAGGAAACTGGGTCATTGTACTCACCGACCAAGTCATTGAAGAGCGCAACAAGCGTATAGAGAAGGAAAAAATCAAGGGATCTCGCAAGATTGATCCGACACGACTTCAATGGAAGCCGCCAGTGTTCACGGCTTCCAGCCGAACCTGGAACTGGTAGAGCGTGTGTTAATCCCTGTTTAGATTTTGTTTTTCCCGCGACTTGTTTGCTTCTTCCTAAAACTTGTGGTATGCTGCTCAGCTTTTGATGTACAATTATTCTAGCGTTAAGAAGGGAAGGGGCGTGGGCGTTCGTGATGGTAATATACCTGGAGTTTTTGGGCTTTGGGGTCGATGTTGGTAATACTGAAAATTACAAATATCTAAAATATCCATTACAATATCTACATACGAGTATCTTATATAAGGATTGAAAGGTCCAGTATAGGTGAACATTGAAGACCACCCTGTTGGCTTAATTATCAGCATTACTCTGCAGGCCTCAGTACCTTGGCATAGCACTGTTTACCTAGCAGACGAGCAAAACGCGCGGGAAACAAGACAATAAGTATGTATTATTGATTCTGCTCTGGAAATTTGCATCCTGGTCAGGTGAAATAAGGCGTACGTGTGCTTGATTGCACGTCAGTAATTTTGCCTTGCATCCCGGTTGTATCGGGAAATAGAATAACTACTTTCAAAATGCGTACAGCGGAAGAGGTAAGTCAATAAGAAGGTAGAATGAAATAGAAGAAGGGTAGGGAATATTGTACGGCAAAAGCAACACAAAAGAACATATGCTAGAGAACCCGAATTCCATCCAATTCCCCGCAGGCGTAGCTCATCAAACACTCAACGAAAAAGGACCCGAAACCCGGAGAAGATAATAAAGCTCGAGAAGTGAAGTTGAGGCTGCTCAGGCGTCTATAAAAGAAAAAAAAAAAGACTTTGAGCATCCCGTTCAAATGGCATTATTAGGTTGGATTGGTAGTAGGGTTGCCCCACGACGACTTTCGCGATTGTCGTTGCGCCTGGCTGTTTCCATTTGTTTGTTGAGCGACAGTCTTCTTGAAATTCGAGCCACCGGAGCCATCGCGTGGTTTGGTGTTCTTACGAGGCTTATATGTAGGTTGTCCACGTGCTCGAGGATTGGTATGAGATCCTGCTTTTCGTGGGACAGCCACCGTCTTTGCCTCAACTGCACCAGGAAGTCGGACAAAGATTTGGTTGACTACTGACGCATCCTTATCGCGAGGCCCAAATATGAAGGGTTCAACGCTATGGACTTGCATCGCCTTCAGAACCTTAGACCTCAAGCGGGCTTGAGATGGTGCAGGTGCAGCTCGCCAAGCGGCCGGAGGAGCCATCGTGGGCACTCGTACAACGGGTAGTGAACCTACTTCACGGTCCTCAAACATCGCCTCTGCTTCCTCGACTTGTCTCGCAGTCAGTTCACCGTCTCCAGACCGAGATTCCCCATTGTAGGGCAGTGAAACAGAAACTTCTGCGATACGCAACTGCACGTCAAGGGGCTCTTTCGAAGCAGATGAGATTGCTAGAGCATTCTTTTTCTCCGGCACAGCTGTCTTCTTACCGAAGAGGGTATTGATCCTCTCCTGCCAGTTTGTAGCAGTTGACGGAGGGCCAGGGCGCGTATTGGAAGCAACCATGGAGGCAAATGTCGGTGGTGTAGGTGGTGGAGGAGCCACCTTTGGTGGGAGTTTGACAATCGGCTTCGGCGCCGGAAGGTGTACTAAAGGTTTATTCGAATCACCAAAATATACAGGATGTGTCGATACGTCTTCGGGAGGGGGTGGTGAAGGGCTTCGGAAAAAATCAACCTCTTCATATGTCGGCTTTCTATGCTCAGTCGCCTGCGGGAAGAATCGCGAACTCCGAATGGGGACGTTAACAAGAGGACGTGCATGGGCTTCTGCAAACGAAAGTGGCCCAACAGGGTGTTCAAGGTTGGATAGAGGATTTGGAAGCGATGCATTCCCATCTGTTGTTCTGGAAATACCAACAACTTGCCTCTGACCGGCTTGGTCTCCCGTGCGAACTTGCCGCCAAGTTTCATTGAAGCTGGTCTGAAGCGATGGCTGGCTGTCACGGACAGCATTCATCTCATGGCGCAACCTTTCATTTTCCTCGGCTTCGCGCTTCGTGGCAACAGCATGGAAATCATTCCATGCAGCAGTACGTGCATCATGCTGCCAGCTTGAATGCGCTCTTGGGGGTCCGATGGGGCCTGGCCGGCCGATCGGGCTTAGCGCATCATAGGAGGCATGTCTAGTTTCGGGGGATGGAAGTGGCGAAATCGTTGCACTTTCTTGGGCGGATCGTGTGGTCGTGGGGAATGACTGCGAGCTGGGAGGAAGTGGTGACTGCTCCAAACCGAGATGATTTCGCAGTGTCAAGTCCCTCGCTGGGAAATTTCCAAGAGTCTGATCAAAAATACCATTCCCTAATGTTTTATCATTGCTCAAAGGTTTCCAGGGATTCGTCAAAGGGCCTGGGCCAACAAGTTTGGCATTCCCTGTCCAAGGAGCGTATGTGTTGGGAACATTCATACCACCCCTCCATTGGGCGTTTTCCTCTTCAACTTTCTGGTTACCAGTTATATCTTCGAGTGGCTCAGGAGGCCCATGTGATGCTTGAGGTCCATTTGCTGTAGCAGCATCCGTTTTCAACTCCCGGTTGGGTGAAGAGACGCGCCGGACATGGGCCGTGGAAGTAGTCTTGTCATGGCTCCTTTCTTTCTCGATGAGCTTTTTCACAGTATCTGGGTGATGGACCTTCATCATCCCATATTGCTTTGGTGCCCCAGTGGGTTCCGGTACAGGGGGTTTTGGAGGTGATTGAGCAGGACCAGTAGCTGTCGTCTCAACCTTGCTAACTTCAGGGGACTCCTTGCTCTTCGCCTTCGATTTCTCAGGTGGTGGCCCAAGCGCCTCGAGCTTCTGTCTGATTCTTTCACGCTTCGCAGCTTCCTCTTTCTCTTCTTGTTCCAACCTCCGCTGGCGGGCCTCCATACGCTTCTCCTTCATGATCCGCTCTTGCATGGCAACCGCATCTTCCTGTGACGTTTGAGGTACCCCGGACTGTCCATCAGTAGCAGAGGTCGCAGCAGGAGGCTGGCCTTCTCCAGCGGAGCTATCAGGAACCTTCTCAGGAGCAATGGTCTGGTCCCGAGGAGGCAAGGGGCCATGTCCATGTCGAATTGGTGAGATATCCCGTAAATGAGTCTCATTAGGGATATTTTCTCGGGTTTGGAGGTGTGGCTCGATCATTCCGTTTACCTGGGAACCTCGTCGAGCTTCAAATGGCCTTTGTACAGCGTCAGGTCGGCCAATCGACATCCGCCGACCAAAGCTTCCACTTCCGCCGCTAACATTGGACGAAGTTCGACGGCGCGTCCAATGCGCGGTATCTTGCACACTTGTCCTATGCGTCTGGAATGCGGCAGAAGGTTCTGCAGGCCCTGCATGCTCACCTGGTGCTGCAGGTCGTTGCAACAGTGAGGGAGCGCGGAAGCTCTGCTCGTTTCGATGGGTACCACCTTTTCTTGGCTCGGGAACAGGCTCGTAACGCCCTGACCTTGAGTTATAAAGCTCTCGCGTTCCTGGCTGAGACTCCCTCCACGTACGATTGAAGTCATCCGCCGCGATCTCTTTCGGAGCAATAGTCGTACTTAGACCGTCGTTGACGTTTTCCCTGGGCGGGAAAGGAGCTCGTGTTTGGGGTTGGACCTGAACCGGAGGCATGGCCGGAGACGCTCTTTCGATGGGCGGGATGGGAGCCCATGGTGATTTTGCGGGAGGGGCTGGGCTTGTAGAGGACGCGGGCAGCTTCTCATTATTTGATCCCTTTGCGGAAATGCCTGCTGTCCTCGCTTGCCGTTCGGCACTGGCACCCAGTCTAAGAACTGTAGGGTTTGGACCTATTGAGGTGACAGGTTTGGGCATGTATTTCGGGGGTTCCTTGGCCGCAGGTATTTGTTCTACCGGTGGAAGCTCCTTCGTCTCGGTCATCGGTTTTGCCGTGGTTGCTTGTGTGGTTCTCGGAATAGGTTCTGGCTGAGGGGCTTCAGTCTTCAAATCGGTTTTCGTCCCATCAGTCCATTCGATAGTATCCGGGGCCCAATCGTCTTCATCGTCATCAATATCAGCCCATTTCGCCTCTGTGCCGCCGCCATCTTCTTGGATCCTCGAAGTCATATGAATTCCATATTGTTGCTTCAGCTCCTCGTCGGTCAGATGTTTCGGGGGCGTCTGCTGAACCGCTATGAGGACAAAATTCGTTAGATGACAACTCGTATTTCTCTCCCAATCGGGGTGCCTTACGTCGATTCCTGTTCCAGACTTGGTTGGGGTCGGGGCCACCTCCACCAAGCCTAGTCCCGTTTGTGCCCGCTTTGGATAACGAGTCGCGCAAGCTACTCGTCGTCTTTGCCACTAATCGAGGCCGTGGATTCTGTAACGGTGTGCCTAAAGGAGTCCCCGTGGACAACGGAGCTATGATATGTTATGGATTGTATACTTCCTCAGTGCGGGCAGGCAAAGTACGTACTCTTTTCAGGAGCTTTAGCCACCGGAGGTGTGCCCGGCGCTTTGGGGACGGAAAACTTGGCGAAAGAAACCGGCTTGAATGCTGTTGGCCGTTTGGTTGATCCAGCACGACTGTGAGCTCTGCTTTCCGTTCGACTAGCATCGGATTCCGAGCCGCCTAGAGAGGCCGAGTCTTCCCCGCCATCCGAAACTGATGTTATCCCGTTCATTTCAAGTACCTTTGTTGCCACTGTACCCGGCCATTGCTTTGATGCGTCCTGCGTCGGAGTAAGTCGATACCCCAGAATCTCGTCCAAAGCACTCACTATTGTAGTTTGTTCTCCGGACTTCTCCTTGTCGCTGCTTTCCGTCGTTTGCCAGGTGTGCATTTTCTGGTCTTCTGGTTCGACTTTCGTTTTCGTTTCGGATGATGTTGTAGCGGTAGTGTTTATCTCCCCCTCGTCCCCTCCAGCAGGTTTCTTGTCGGTGGTGCTCGCAGGAACGTCGGAAGGCGAAGGATCGCCGCCCGACAGGGTTAGATTTACCACATCGTGGCCGTTCTGCTCTGCCATAACAATTCTCGAGTCTGCGGGGACAGCAGGTTGTGACATCAGTTAGACATGTGTTCCCAAACCGCAAATCCAGAAACAAATCGCGACTTGAGTTGTGAAAACACAAGTGAAGATAGGCAAGAGGGCTGGAGCATACCTATTGCTAGGGATCAAGAATCGCCACGGTTGAACACTGAGCTCAGCTATTTGAGCCGAGAAAAGCTCCGAACGACCAAGAGGGCGGATGGTGAAGAGGCTAGTGCAGCACGTGAAACAAGACTTGACGCAGTACAGGTAACAGAGAGGGCTCTGGGGACGAAAGAAACAGCCCACGGTATCCCTAAAGGGAGGTCACGATAGGGAGGCTCTTCTCTGAGTTGATAGAGATCGGGTGATGGCTGCGGTCACTGATGATGAGTGACAGTTCAGGTTCCAAGACTAGAGTGACTGTTTCCGGTTAGCGTGGGAAACGCCGCAACTGAAGCAAACCCTGTGGCTGGAGGAGCACTTTACGGCCAGAAAGGTAGCGACAAACAATCAAAGGCATGTCACTTCATAGATAGATATATCTTATTATTTTAATCTATCGTAATATGCTAATATGGTTCATGAGTTGTTATTAAGCGATGTATGGCGGTGATGACAAGTGCTCTCCTTCCGCTCAAACTTTCGCATTTGCGTCTTCTGCTGAACCGCGCCCGGCATTCCGGATTCAACCAGACTTCGAAATACTCTACAAGTAGAACATGGAATAAGATATACTACATACTACATTCCCAAACACACTCGAAAATATAGTATAATGTCACAAAGGTTTGAATTGTAAATATCACAGGTATTCTGCTTCTACGATCCGTTCTAGGCCCACGATATATACACAAATCCCCCACGTCCAACACCTGCTGGGAGAAATTTAGTGAGGGTGGTTCTTGTGGTGGCCTATTATCCGTTAGATTCATGTTTCATCGCGAGGGAGAAAAAAAAAGGGGGGTGTATAGAGGAGCCATACGCAGGTGGAAGTAGTATTCCATGCTGTAACCGAGGATGAGGATACCACCGATAGCGTGGGCGAGGGCTGCAGAAAGCATTCGCATTAGCATATAAAGTAGAATGTAATCAATTACATATCACTTACGCGCAGCAGAGGGCTTGCTACCGAAATAGCGAGCTTGGTAGCGTCCGATGAGGCCAGTGGGCTTAACCTCAGGAGCAGCACCACGGGGAAGTTTGGCGTAGAAGTTCACAACACGGTCCATGCGAGCGGCGTCTCTGGCAGCGCCGATGGCCTTTTCAAAGGTTAGTGAATGATTAACTAGGCCGATACCACGAAACTCCCTGTGCCGGCGTAACGGACGGGGAATCACGGGATGGATTTGGCAATTCGAGGGGCACAAAGCATCATACGTTGGGGGAAGCAATCTATACAGAAGATTATATCAGCGCATGAGTCTTCAAGAAAGGCCGTTTCAAGCCCGAAGTGTTGCTTTCTTACCTTGGGAGGGATCAAGGTCGAGAGACCTCGGCGAGTGACGAAGCTCATCTTTGCGTGGTCTGAAAGCGGCCTATTAGCGAACCAAATATGCGCGAAATATAAGGTGATACATCTGTGTTCGATGTACGCTTGTATTATCTTACCTTGACGTGAGCAAATGTGAAAGGTAGATGGTGAGCGACAGAGGATGGGAGGAAGTGCCTGAGAAAGCGGGTTGTCGGAAGAGAACGTAGGGAGCCGCACACCACGCTAAGCCGGATTAGGCGTTGCCTTCAGACCGGCAAGGTCGCAATACCTCACCTCGTTCAATCCACACCCGTCTTTGTTGCTCTGCTCCCACCACAACAGGCACAATCGACACAATGTCGTTCATGAGAGTTGGAAACCTTGCCTGCTCTCGAGCAGGAAGGCTCATGGCACCCCGCAATGCCCGTTTACTCTCAGCAACTGCTTTCCGAGCCGACTCGCCTGTCAAGACCAGCTCTGCTGACGCCCCGACGACGCCCCTTTCGGAGAGCTCAATGATCAAGAAGGAGACACCTGCTGAGGCAATGACTCGTCACCAACCAGACTATGACGCTACTATCGACCATGGCACCTCGTACGAGACCCCCTTGCTCAACGCGAATAATGACTGACACAACCAAGCAAATTCTCTCCCGTGCCCAAGCGTGTCATGGATGGAAGTGAGCCCGGCGAGACGGTTCCTGCTGCTGTCCTCTCTGGAGCTCCGACCGATCTCCAAGCCCGTACTGTCAGGTATGATCACAGACCGGAAACTTCCAATATCAGCAACTGACAACATCATCAAGGATTTTCCGACCTTCCAAGCCCGCATCGCAGTCTGGAGACTGGCACTCTCACCACTGGAGGATGGATTGGGATATTCTACAAAAGGGGCACCGCTGGGAAAACCCCTTGATAGGCTGGCAATCTTCTGCGGATTGCATGCAGGGTACACATTTGAACTTCAAGTCGAAGGAAGACGCCATTCTGTTTGCGCAGAAGCAGGGCTATGAATATTTTGTCCAGGAGCCAAATGAGCGCAAGTTTGTTCCCAAGGCTTACGCCAACAACTTCGTTCACGAACACAAGAAGCTCAAGCACATCAGAACCAAATAGACCCGCTTTTCAGTTTACCGTGTATGTATATAAGTTTTTTTTTGCTCTGCATTCTTTCCAGAATTAAAGTGGGGTTTATGTCTTACGCACCATTGTATACAAACCAAAGTGGCGTGGTATAGTGTACCCTGGGCCGTCAACATTTAGTAATGCCGCTCTGAACAGCTAGCGCTGGTCGTGCGACGATGTCAAGTATCATAGTGGTAGATCGGGCCTGGGCAGATGGCTATTCAATGCCATATACAATTAATTATACTATTGCCCAGTGTTATATCCTTACAACTAACAGCGATCAATATAGATGTTTACGTGAATTCGTTCCATGTCTGTTTTTAGATGGTATTTAAGGTGCATGAAGAGCAATAATATACTATGAGGCGGGTTGGGCAACTAGTTTAATTTAGATTCCAATCTAAGTAGTACCAGACTTTAGAATTGAGAAACAGATGTTCCATTAGCCTGGAATCGAATGAGTAATTTCAGTGGCAGTTGTCATCGCAGGTAGGTAAATTTGGAGATGTACTAGGACGATAATTCGACATTTAGCAGAGCATACGAGTTTGGAATTAGAGGCTACCATTCGGTTAAATTGTAACAACCAGCTTGCCCCGTATATGATGTTTATTTCTCAATTTTTTGTTTTCTTTGTTTTGGTCTGCCAAAATGAGGTACTGAGGTTGTCAAAAGAAATCAATAACTGCAGTATCAAAATATACTTGTACACTACAAACCGAAAGTTTTACAGGCATAGAAACAAAAAGTAAATAAGAAGTAAATAGGTTAGTTCCAACCCCCAAGAGCAAGAGATCAGATATCGTCCGACCCGGAAACATGAGCAAGAAAAGCAGGCCTAGCCGCAGATTGAGGCCCCGCCACCCCGCCAAAAAATTATTATCTCGCAGATAAGATCGAAAAAATTATACGAACCGCGTCCCCTACGGTTGGATTTAATCCATTTCTACCTTAAACAACCCTTTTCAGTTTTTGATTTTCGATTATAATTTACACATCAATCTTGCAGAAATGGCGACTGGCGACCTCGAGAGCCCGGACACCACCGTCCAAACTCTCCGTACAGTTATCACGTCCGAGGCTGAGCCCCTCGCTCGTCGCTTCCGCGCTCTATTTTCGCTCAAGCATCTCGCATGCCTCCAACCTCCTGCCGAGAAGACACTGCCTGCAATCCAGGCTATCGCTGCCGGTTTCGCTTCCCCGTCGGCTTTGCTCAAACATGAGCTCGCATATTGTCTTGGTCAGACAAGGAATACTGATGCATTGCCGTTCCTGCTTGAAGTATTGAAGGATACCCAGGAGGACGCAATGTGCCGTCACGAGGCCGCCGAGGCACTAGGAGCTTTAGGCTTCGAGAGTAGCTTGGAGGTTCTGAAGGAGCTCAGGGACAACAAAGATGAGTTGGATGTTATTCGGGAGACATGCGACATTGCCGTGGACAGAATTCTATGGGAACAGTCAGAGGCTAGGAAGGCTGAGAAGTTGAAACCTAGGTATTCCATTTCTATATCGCGCCGTTCTTTAATATTCTTTTAGTCTAATATGTTATAGCGATTTCACTTCCATTGACCCCGCCCCGCCGATGCCCTTGTCCGCAAAAGAACCTTCCATCCCTGAGCTTGAGAAAACATTGCTCGACACAAGTCTGCCATTATTCCACAGATATCGTGCAATGTTCGGCTTGCGCGATCTTGCCTCACCCCCCGATCTTCCAACCGCAAAAGACGCTGTTGAATCGCTAGCAAAGGGCTTGAAGGACCCTTCTGCTCTTTTCCGTCATGAAATCGCATTCGTCTTCGGGCAGCTCTGCCACCCGGCATCCGTCCCCAGTCTTACAGAAGCCCTGAGCAACCAGGCTGAGGCTAGTATGGTACGCCACGAAGCTGCAGAAGCACTTGGCAGTTTGGGTGACGTCGACGGCGTCGAAGAAACTTTGAAGAAATTCTTGAACGACCCAGAGAAGGTTGTGCGGGACAGTATCATTGTGGCTCTTGATATGGCGGAGTATGAGAAGAATGGAGAGGTCGAATATGCGCTGTTACCAGACTCTGGAAACCTTGCCGCGGTGTCTGCTGCTTGACTGATATGGTGATGGCTAATATTGGCGGGTCGTTCGTGTTCTAGATGCATGGATATACGATCTATGAATGAAAAATAGACTTCTTGGGTATTAATTGTTTGTGGTTTCCCTGGAGGAAAGGTTAGTTGGTGTGCGGTCAAGACCGAAAATAGTGAGGCCTCATACTTGTAACCGCAGACGCAAGTGAAGAAAACCGTACTTCCTTCGTCTGCACTACGCAATTGCACTGTCGTAAAGTACATTTCCTTCCTTCCGCATTGAGGGCAATCCTTTTCAGTCAGGGCTTCTGTTCTCTTATCGGCGGCAGTCAAAGTCTGAATCGCGGATCGCTTTGCGCGCAATGCCGAGGGAAATGAGCTTGGTTTTGACTCAGAAATGATCGTTTTTGGGACGGTGTCTGTGAGCAAAAAAAAAAAAGATCGAGAAATCAGCCTCTTCCTTAAAATCCATGATCTTCCTTTAGAGCTCCAAATATTTTACCTTTGTTTCGAGTTCCGCAGACATCGCAAACCAGGATTCTCGTTGGATCTCCAACAGAGCCCTCCAACAGAGAACCGCAATCGGTGCAGAAAACCAGAGAGCCAATTGTAGACATAGTGTTTGGTAGTTGACAAGCAAGAAGTTCTGTATATCGGATTGCTTCTGTCACTTTTTCTTCACTTTTTCTCCCGCGGCAAGATTTGCGGGCGCACGGGCCACGATCGGTGGACAAGAACTCCATTAGCGCTAGGCGGTCAGGGTGAGGCGGCAGCCGCAAGATAATACGAGAGTCGTGCCTGGCATGTATTAATTGTTCACTCGAACATCAGTTTGTCAACCGGCCTTTTGCATTGCTTTTCGGAAATGAACGTCTGATGGGGAGGGGAATCCGGTCGTTTTGACTGACAGCCATGTCTTTGAGCGAAGCATGTCTTTCCCGCTTTTACAACTCCGTTCTCCCCATACGAGCTGCAGTTCTCTTTAAGGGACCACTGCTCCCATCATGGATCAGAACTGGCATCCGGCCGTACAGGTCGTCATTAACAACCATACTCAAACAGAATATGGGGGTGGTAGGGGGCAACCGCTGCGCCAGGAAAGGCCGTTAGCTGTGGAGGAGGCGCTGGTGTACTCCCCCATGTACAGTACGCCGATATTCGGGTTGGGTGAGTTGAGCAAAGTCTGAGAGACTTGTGAACCTGAAGCTGATTCTTTACTTCTTAGATTGTATATTACGCCCTGATGTCGGCCGGCCTCCTACCACGACCTCGATCAATCATATCCTTCAATCTGGCCGTTCTGCGTTGAGCGACCTAAATAACGATGTCCGATCAGGACGTCATGAATCCAGTCGCTTAGAGACGTCCCGGGAGTATCTGCAACACCTACTTGATGGTGATCAGTTGACTGAATTGTGAGCAGCTTTCCGATTGTCTGACTTGGGGATGATGCTAATATATACTTCCAGCAAATTTAAACTTCCCATACGGAACCGGAACCCTCCACCGTCACTTAGCACCTCCCACGAAATGGTGTCTAGCGAAAGCCAACTCGGCCCCTTCTCCAAAATGATGCTAGACTCGACAGATATTGCCTTTCGATGTGAGATAACTCTGCTCTTGCTTCGCCGCATGCATGACCTTAACGTACAATTTATTCTATAGATCCTACGCCATCGGAGACGGACGAAGGGACGCCGATAAAGAAGCTAAAATCCACTGACAAGAAACTTCCGAAGAACCATAAATTCACGGCCAAAAGCTATAGCCAACAACCGCAGCCCACAGGCCAGCTCTCTGTCGTAATACCGGTCAAGCCTTTGCCGAGCACTGATAGTGCACATGCCATTCCACAAAAGAGAAATCTGAGCGCTGGTGGCGAAGATAGCTTAGCCTCAATTCGGCTAAGAGCTCAGAAGGAGGAGGCGGATGCAGCTCTTGTTAAATTGCAGGATATTCTTCACGAGATCTTCGAAGCAGAGGATCAATTCGATCCAGGGGTACCCGATAATGCTCCAGACAGATCCAATATGGTCTTCACGCCACCCCAGTCGCTAGAGGTTAACGGCCCCATGCTCTCCTCAGATTCTCACGCGCGCTTTCAAAAGGCTATTAAGAAGGTAGTGAGCTTCAATAGGCTTCAAGATATTCCCTCAGATTACCTCAGTCGCGTACAAAAGCTCTGTGAAAGACTAATAATTGCTGCGCAAGCGCCTGACCTGAAACTTGAAGATGCCTCAGACGAATCAGCGACAAACGATTGGCTGAGAAAGTTAGACGACATGCATAACGCGCTTCTTGCTGTCAACTCTCTCCTACAAACAATGTCTGGTCCGCAAAGTGAAAGGGACCTTTGCCAAGAGGATCTTATTGAAGCCATCCCAAATCTCTTGAACCAGATCTTCGACCACTGTGTCATACCCGCCGTTGAAGCTCGTCCTTCAGGGAAAGATACGAAATTCTTCGAATTCTGTTCCGCCCAGAGGCGTGCTATTGGGGGCGTGATTCAACAAAGCAAAAAGGTGTTGAGCCTCTTCGCTGACTTCCTTGCACGAATTGATGTTTCAGAAGGAGCAATCACCGCAACTGAATTCTTCGCTGCAAAACTGATATTTGTCGAAAACTCTCACACTGAAAAGGATTCTGCTGTGGGCTGTCAAAGATATGAATCTGTTCGGCGTAGCGCCATGGATATCCTTGCAAAGATCTTCTCAAAGTATCCCACCCAGCGCCCTTTTATCCTCGACGAGATTTTAGTTTCTTTAGAAAAGCTTCCGTCTACTCGGCAAAGTGCCAGACAATTCAAGCTCGCGGACGGCAAGAGTATCCAACTCCTAACTGCTTTAGTCATGCAACTCGTGCAGACCACCGCGTTGGATACCCCTTCTTCCAGGTCGGCAAAATCTAAGCGTAAGGTAGTGAAATCGGAGGATGAGGATGATGAGTCTGTTGAAGAAGACCAGGTTGTTGATGATGACGAAGATGACCCGTCAGATGTTTCATTGGCGCGTTTAGCAGCGAAGGTCAATCGCCTGTACGATAATGCTTTGCGAAGTGCTCAGTACATTATCAAGTTCATTGTTCAGCGAGCAATGACGTCCACCAAAACTGGCGATCAGCCTTACAGGAATATTCTTGACCTCTTCACCGAAGATTTGATCGGGGTTTTGGGCTCTACAGATTGGCCTGCTGCTGAACTACTCCTTCGTATAATGGCGTCTCATATGGTCAGTATCGCCGACCTTGACAAGAGCCCTGCGACAACCAAGAGCATGGCTCTAGAACTTCTAGGCTGGATGGGATCCGCCATATCCGATCTTATTTCTACCGCTCAGCATCTGCTTCCAGCCATGGAAGAATCCAATACAGAGCTTACCGACTATCTGAAGCAACTGTTCGACGATTACTCAAGCCGTGCTCTACACCCTCAAGACCTTGTGGTTTCGGAAGGCCCGTACCGGATGACCCTCGAATATTTCCTCAACGATCAGAACTCGGACAACTGGCAGCTTTCCAGTGCTAGGGGCTTCTTTTTGGCGCAGTGGGCTAAAACATTTTGCTCCGTCTACTATAACTCGGAGGACAAGGACGAGGTCGAATACGATGGTGCAACCGAGGCCGCCGTGCATCTCTTTGCGAAGCTGTTTTCTGATCCGTTCTGGTTGGAGACACACAGGTATGTGTTGCAAACAAAATCCACCGTTGACCTAGCATTAACTTTTTTTTTTCAGGCAATTTGATAGGATCTCGACCGCCCATGGGAGATTTGCATATATCTTAACCGTCTTGAACTCAAGCTTCTGTAAAGCTTTTGATACGATCCTAAAGGTGCTTCTCAACTCGATAACAAGTGACCAAGCAAAAGTTCGAAGCCGCAGTTTGAAAAGTGTAATCTATATGCTTGAGAAGGATCCGAGCCTTCTTGATCGAGATACCTCAGTAATGCGCGTGATTCTTCGGTGCGCAACTGATGCTTCGCCCATGGTTCGTGACTCTGCATTATCCTTGATCGCCAAATGCATTGTTCTGAAACCCAATCTCGAAGAAGATGGATGCCGAAGCATTTTGGCCTGTGCAGGCGATCCAGCAGCCGGGGTTAGGAAACGTTGCATTGGCTTGCTCAAAGATATCTACCTGAAAACACCTCGCGCTGAATTAAAGATGGCTATTTTGGATAGCTTTCTTCAGCGAACTGTGGATCTTGAAGAGGGTGTAGCTACCTTAGCTCGCCAGACATTTGAGGAAGTTTGGCTCACCCCGTTCCATGAGTTGATCGATTCGGCTCAAGATGCACCAAAACTGAAGATCGGACTTGCAGAAAGAGTAGCATTGTTTGTCCACTTAGTACAGAGAAGTGAGACAGCTCTTGAAGCACTTGGCACCTGTCTAAAAAAACTACTATCCGACTCACCCAAATCCTCTCTGAACTTCAAAGTGTGCAAAGCAATGGTTGCAACAATGTTTGAGAAGTTGATTGAGGGGAATGAAGCCTCAAACAAGGAGTTTCAACAGGCTTTACTGCAAACAATGACCGTATTTGCCAAAGTGAATCCGAAGTTACTACGTCCGGATCAATTGGAGGCCCTTCATCCATATATTGGACATCTTGCCACAGCGGAAGACTTGTTCTTGTTCCGCTCTGTGGTGGTTATTTACCGCTGTGTTCTACCATATCTCTCGACATCTCATAATACACTTTTGAAGGAAGTCCAAAATGACCTCTTCAAGAGTGTGGCCAAACTCGCGCGCGCAGAATTGAACGAAGTCATGGCTTGCCTATGGACTATCAACGGAGTTCTTCATAACACAGACCGCCTCGTGAAACTCACGATTTCTGTTCTGAAACCGATACAGCACTACAGAAACATTGATCTTTCGAGTAGCACGAATGCCACTGTCCTTACGAGGGCCAAAAGTTATATCCGAATTGCGGGTTGCGTCGGCCGGCATTGTGACCTTGAGAAATACGAGCCTCATTTCAAAAACGCATTCCCGTCATGGAAAGGTGGTTCTGTGGCTGGACTCATGGTAGACTCAATAATTCCCTTCACGTCGGCAAAACAGCCGCTTGAGGTGCGCGTAATGGCGCTTGAAAGTTTGGGTTCTATCTGCCAATCGTGGCCTGCCCATTTTGGTCGGGAGGAGTCAAGGCATGCCCTCTCGGCGGTGTTTGGAGAAGACAATCCCAGCCTTCAGAACATCGTGCTGAAGTCCTTTGCAGATTTCTTTGCAATGCATGAAGGTAAAGCCGAGAAGTCCATAGTACCCACTGCTGAAGTCGCAGACCAAGAAAACACGACTAGACTAGGAGGGTCATTGAAAGCGAGCGATAATGACGGAGCCGCGGCGTTGATTGCTCAGCACTTTTTGAAAGACATGCTCCGAGTTGCGCAGTCTCGGCAAGACTCATATGCTTTGACTGCGATTGAATTGGTAGCGAGCATCAATCGGCAAGGTTTGGTCCACCCGAAAGAGTGCGCCGGAGTTTTAGTCTCTCTAGAGACATCCACCGTCCCAGCTATTGCTAAAGTTGCATACGAGACGCACAAGATGCTTCATACGCAGTATGAATCTATGTTTGAAAGGGAATATATGCGTGCCATTCAGGAGGCCTTCTACTATCAGCGTGATGTGGTCGGAGATCCGGCTGGCGCTCTGGCACGTCCATATGTTGCCAAGTTAACGCCGCTATTTGATATTGTCAAGATCAGTAACAGTCGATACCAAAAGAAGTTTCTTTCCAATTTATGCTCCAAGGTGAATTTCGAATTGAAGAAGCTTGATTCAAACGGAATCCCCCCGGAACACCTTCTTCTTTCCCGCTTCATATCTCAGAACCTGGCATTCTTTGATTACAACCAGCTCGCTGAACTTGTGGCGGCTATCGGCAGCATGGAGCGCATCGTTTCTGCGACAGGAACGATTGTGGCGCATGCTATTGAGACGGACATCTTTCCGCCTAAACAAGAACCACCGCCACCGCAGATAGATGGGGCGCCCATGCCGATGCCAACAGAGGCTACCAATGTTTTACCCTTACAGAATATCAACCCAACCACTTTGCGACATCTCACTGTTGCTGCCGCTTCTTTGTCTATGCTGTGGGAAGCACGGACCCATCTTCGACGCCTATACGGTGTGACATTTCACGCACGCAACAAGGACGGAAAGGGTGCCGCTAAGGAGCTGAACAAGTCTGCCACAAAAGTGCAAGGAGTCAATGGTGATAGATTCTGGGAAGCTATTACCCGAAACATGTCGTCTCTAGACAGCGAGCAGAGCATGGTTGAAAAATGTCGTGAATTCGCGACTTTGCTTTCCATTGATGAAGAGTTTAAGATTGGCGATGCTGAAGATGCGGAAGGGGACAGTCTTGACGCTGTAGGCGAGGTTGATGACCCTGCGGCGACCTGGGTTGCTGGACAACGGCCGGTGAAACGCAAGAGCTCTGTATCAGGACAGAACCCGCCGAAACGGCCTCGAGGCCGCAAACCTGGATCGGTGAAGAAGAGAAACAGCGCAACCCCAGATGCAGATGCGGACTGGGACTAGGCTAGACCTAGACCTATATCAATGTATTTTGGCTGTTTTTTTAACAGCAATATTTAGACGGTGCATATTGTGGTCACGGAAAATGGCGTTTTGAGGAGCGGCTGGGCTTGTATTGACATATCCCTCTTGTTATGGCGTGCAATGGATCTCTTATCTCTACTTAGCCCAAAGCACTCTTCTAGTATTTTGATGGGCCTTTTATTTTCTACCTAGTCCATTTAATATATCATTATTATCTCTTCCCAAGAGACAATTTTTTTGCTTTTGCAGTCTTTTCTCATCGGATCTTCGGCTCAGGCTGTAAGCGGAAGTGGACCCCTGCCAATGCGTTGATACTATCCTTGTCACCTCGTGGCTATACACCATAATGATGTATGGAGCTCTTGCCCAGAGGAGCAGCATAGGCTCCTACTAATAGGCTACACCGGTGTACCGAATCAGCGCATCAGCCCATGCCGGATCGCAGGCATTTCGTCCTAAACTGGAGCATTTGAGGAAGGTCGAAAGAAAATCCCACGTAATGTCCGATCGGTTGTGTTTTTACAACCTGGGCTAACGTAGTGGAGTTAGTCGGTCCCATACCGAGTGGGCCAGCCCAGAATGCTTGGTGGGCGGCAGAATGACGTTGCGGACACTGGATTTGACTGAACCGTGCTAGCCGTACGGCGTCACGGACAGCTCATTCCGCACGGTCTCAATTCTCCCCATCCGCCTTCCATGCCATCCACCTTCATTCTTTTAATCACTCTTTAATTCAGGCTTGTCTTGATTCTCGTGGCGTTGACCGTCACCACGTCTCGGCCTCGTCGCTCCCTCTCCTCATCCTCCGCTGAGCCATGAGCGCTGCGCTGCGTCTGGTTCGTCCGGACGCCCTCGCGCTGAGGACCGGACTCCTTTCGAGACAAATACATGCCTTAAATACTTCAATATTGTCTAGACGTACTTCCGGACGGCTCGCATACCATACCCAGCCTAAATCCCTACGCCAATCCCTCGCGTCGCGTGCCTTCTTCAGTCCCCAATATTCAGTCCGACACAAATCCGCCGTCACTACACCAAAGGAAAATGAGAGTCCAAAGGCATTCCGCCTTCGGAATATAGTTTTTAAAACCTTTGCCTACTGTGGTTTCTTCATTGTTATGACGGGTGGTGCCGTGGTGGCATTCTTCATTTACGATGCGACAACATATCGCGAACATCCAAGCGCTGAGGATATCCCGGTTTCCGAACTAGCTCTTAACCCACGCCGTGGAGGACCGAAGAATTTACCAGTTGCTGAAGTTCTGGTGGGGGACAATGATTCCGATGCAATGCAGGAACAGAGGGACAAGCCCCGGCTGGTTATTTTAGGTACGGGCTGGGGTAGCGTTGCCCTGCTCAAACAGCTAAACCCCGGTGACTACCACGTTACCGTGGTTTCTCCGACCAACTATTTCCTGTTCACGCCCATGCTGCCTTCTGCGACTGTTGGTACCCTTGGGCTGAGGTCACTCGTTGAACCTGTTCGTCGTATTGTCCAGCGTGTCAACGGACATTTTCTTAAGGGAGAAGCTGTGGACGTTGATTTCTCAGAAAAATTGGTTGAAATAACCCAACTCGACGCTCAAGGAGATAAGCAGCATTTCTATCTTCCATACGACAAGCTAGTGGTTGGCGTCGGTAAGTACTGCTAGTGCATGTGTCGTTGCGTGATGTACTAACCCAATTACTTCAACTCAGGCTGCGTTACAAATCCTCATGGTGTTAAGGGCCTGGAGAACTGTCATTTCTTAAAGACGATAGATGACGCCCGCCGGATCAAGAATCAAGTGTTGGACAATATGGAACTCGCTTGCTTGCCTACCACTTCTGACGAAGAACGCAAACGCCTCCTATCATTTGTTGTCTGCGGTGGTGGACCAACTGGTGTTGAATTCGCCTCGGAGCTCTTTGACCTTCTGAATGAAGATCTGCTCTATTCTTTCCCGAAGATATTGAGAAATGAGATCTCTGTGCATATCATTCAGAGTCGCAGTCACATTCTGAACACCTACGATGAAGCCCTCTCGAAATTTGCCGAGGTGAGTATTGGTTTTATTGAAAATTTGGCAGGTGGCTAATGAAAGCAGTCTCGGTTTGCGCGTGATGATGTTGATGTGCTGACAAACGCGAGAGTAAAAGAAGTACACTCTGACAAAGTCGTCTTCAGCCAAATAGAGGATGGCAAGACAATAACCAAGGAAATCCCTATGGGTTTCTGTCTATGGTCAACCGGTGTTGGTACGTAAACCTGATCTGGAGACCATTGTGTTAGCTCTGCTAATAGGTATAACAGCTCGCGCCGACCTCTGCCAAAAGATCTCGGACAAACTTGAATCTCAGAACAACAAGCATGCTTTAGAAACCGACTCCCACCTCCGTCTTATCGGGGCACCTCTCGGGGATGTGTACGCCATGGGCGACTGCTCCACCGTTCAAAATAACATAGCTCAACATATCCTGTCCTTCCTCCGCACCATCGCCTGGGAAAAGGGCAAGGACCCCAAGAAAGTCCACCTCACGTTCCGTGAATGGCGAGATGTCGCCTCACGAGTCAGAAAGCGTTTCCCCCAGGCCTCCAACCATCTCCGCCGCCTTGACAGGCTCTTCGAACAATACGACAAGGACCATTCCGGTACTCTAGACTACGACGAACTCTCCGAACTCCTCCACCAAATCGACACAAAACTTACTTCCTTGCCCGCAACTGCCCAACGCGCAAACCAACAGGGCGAATATCTCGGCCGCAAGCTTACTAAAATTGCTGCCGCTATGCCTGGAATGCAGGCCAATGAAATCGACCACGGCGACCTCGACGAAGCGGTTTACAAAGCCTTCCACTACAAACACCTCGGTAGCCTTGCGTACATTAGCAACGCTGCTATTTTCGACTTTGGCGGTGTGAATTTCGGTGGTGGTGTCCTGGCCATGTACCTCTGGCGTAGTGTTTACTTTGCCGAGAGTGTCAGTCTGCGGACCCGGTGTATGCTCGCCATGGACTGGGCCAAGAGAGCGCTTTTTGGAAGAGGTACGTATGATACACTCATCGCGCTTTCTCCGTTACCTCGTGTTTCTATTTTAACCCTATCCGGTATTCAACTAACATGACTTCTTATTTCCAGATCTCATGAGCTTCTAAACGTCCTCAAAAAAGACTCAATCAGAGAGAATTTCATTTTCACGTCCCTGACATTGTGATATATAGTCTTGGATCTCCACCCTTGTATATCTTATCTTTGGATTATATCTGGAGCGGACGGATATATCTAAATTTGTCATACTATCTAGAGTTACTATGTTTGGAGTTGATTCTTGGTTGGAGAAATTCATTTTCGGATACATAATCATGCAATGATTAATCTATAGCATTGGGCTTATACAATCTTTTTTTGATCATATTCTCTTGACGCAGTTCAGCTAGGAGTATATATATGTGTGTGTGTTTGTCGTTCGGTCTACCTAACAAATATATATTTCCAAATTCTACCCTTTCGTACATCGGCTTCTAGTAGAAGCAGTAGTATATAAATCACTTTATCATGGTTTGATGCGACTAGCTAACCTACCTGGTATATAACTGTAATGGCTAGCGGACTTCCTTTTCTTTTAATAAAAGGCGATTGGCGATTACGCACGTTATGGGAACCACAAGGGCATACTTAGGTATTGTCAGACATTTGCAGATTATTCAGGAGAATATTGAAAACTTGCTTAGCCGCAATGTAATTTACTCGATACTTTACTTAGATACAAATCCTAATTAAGGAGAGGTGAAGGCCCCGACTCCCGAACGCCTATGCTTAACAAAACAATCCAATGGCCGAGGGTGTGGTGATATTAACATAATGTATCAAACCGAAAGGCCCAACCGGTCATGAAATCATTGGGTCAAGGTCTCCGTTGTTGGTCATTACAGTGTCGTTAGAAGCGCCATTTTGGCTGGCCCCCGATGTGTCCTGGGAGGTATTACTATTGTTGGATTCCCCGAGTCCAAGGTCCAGCTTGTCGGGGATCTCCTTCTTAGCCTCTCGGGCCTTCTGCTCTGCCCAAGCGTATAACCTAGCGAAGTCGCACAGTAGGGCTTCTGTACGAGCACCTTGATCTTGCAGGATTGCTGCATTGACCTTGGCATATATATCCCTACGCAAATCAGAGTGAAGAAGGGGAGCTAGAGATGGTGTTAGGTTTTCCTTGGGGAATATGAGAAGTGCAAGTGTCTTCTCAAGGTCTTCAAGGAACTGAGGGTTTGTTGGTGCCCGTGGCGCGAGTTGTGAGGTAGCAAACTCGAGCGCAGGTGTGATGTCTCCATCCGGGTTTAGGGTGCATGAGCGAATTAACTCCACAAGCTGCAAGCGTAGTAACGCAAAATGCAGAGATGGGTTTTCGTCTAGAATCTGCATTGATCAGTCAGAAAACTGCCGCAATCAAAGCAATGGAAATAGGCAAATGTGGTGTTGTATGTTGTTCATACTGAGGACTGAAGATGTTTGTTTATCAACAAAACCCAGAAGGGTAGTTCTGAGTGGTGCATGAAACTTGGTCTAATCATAACAAGAAGGGAATGGGAAGAGTCTGAAGGGTGGGGTAATTCTTACCTGAGGATTGAGCTCATTGATCTTCTCGATTGCGGCCTTAATGTCTCCCGAATAGATAGCCGTTCGAATTTCAACCCGTTCCTGGATTGATTCGACATCCACTTGATGGATGTTGGCTTCAAGTGCAAACCTCTGTGCAGCAGCAGGGTAGCCATTGGTTACGAGGTAGTCCATGACCAATCTGTTCATATCACTTCATGATGTTAGCAACCAGGTGCGAACTGAGATAGGCTCGTACAAAGGCACATAGACAGGATGATATCAGAAACACAAGTTAATATGTTCTCCTCAAGGTGTTTGCAGAGAGATTCCCAACTTGAATATAAACGCATCATTGAGAGGGACAGGAAGCTTCGATGGGAAAGAAACGTACGTTTTGGACGGCTTAACCTCGTCGACTTTGCGCTCAAAGTTGTGACATGTTGGCGTTGAAGTTGAGGGAGTTGGAGACATCTGCAACCCGTGTTAAAAATCGGCAAACACGGACGCACGAGACGCCGAGAGGCATACGTAATTAGCAGAAGACATGATTCCAAGATGGAGAAACTGTTGGGCTATCAAGTGCCCTTGTATTGAATCATAGGCCGCCCGTGAAGATGGTGAGCTTCGCAGACAGGAGCCATGAGGGTGTTTTGGGGAGAAAAGGAAGAAAGAAAAATTGAGAGGGAGAAGAGGTGAAAAGAAGGCGATGGCGGAGACAGTCACGTGGTGTACTTACAGGAAATCAGCAAGCGAACGTCACGGCCCTAGTCCAGATGCATCCAAGCGCTGTTTGCTCCTTTCCCCCTCTCATCGATTGGAATCGTGACTTTAAAACGGGACGGCTATATACGGATTGCTAGTCGGTCTGGACCTGTATCGGGAATCGTGATATCAGAGGCTTGAGTTCGATGAGAATACATTAAGTTCCCGAGTTGCACCTCAGGCTCGCGTGTGAAGCAGAGCAGCAAGCGCGCGCTAGTCCCGACTAGGAAGATAGACCGCTTAAGAAGATGTTCCAGGTTTAGCCTCATCGCACTCTTCAGAGGGCCTATCTCCCGCCTTCAGTCTTGCAGACGCTTGCTATCAGCTCTCCCCTCGCCGGATCGACCCCTGTTGCCTACTCGACCTGATATTATCCTGTTGCGTGAGGCTTAGATTTTCGAGCTGATACGCCCGTTACTTAGGAGTAGTAGGCATCATGGAGTCGATCCCGCCGGTGTACTCTGCTGCCACCAAGCCTGGGAAGCGTTACTCTCCACCATGGGCGGACTTGAGCATTATCGGGATTGCTGGCAGTTCCGGCTCCGGTAAAACGTCCGTGGCTATGGAAATTGTGAAGTCCTTGAACATACCTTGGGTTGTCATCCTTGTAATGGTACTATGAGCCAAAAGCCTCCAACTAGAGATGGACTTCGATATAGCTACCTCCTTCCGAACCCATGAGATCTGACGAGTTGCAGGATTCGTTCTACAAAAGCTTGACCCCAGAACAACATGAAAAAGCTCATGCGAACCAGTTTGATTTTGATAGCCCGGACTCAATTGATTTTGATGCTCTGGTGCAGTGCCTTAGCGATCTTAAACAAGGGTATAGTAGCCAGATCTTTCCGACTTGTGCTGCATAATCATTCCGCAATTGATATTGGTATTCCTGAGACTGACATCCCGTGGCCGCCTAAAAGAAAAAAAGTAGACATACCTGTCTATTCGTTCGTTCACCATCAACGACAGCCGCAAACTACCCCCCTCTATTCTCCTCATGTCCTTATTCTAGAGGGAATCCTTGCACTTCATGATCAGAGGATCATGGATTTATTAGACGTCAAAGTATGCTCCTTTATCGTGTTTAGACTTTTTTTTTTTTTTTTTTTTTTTCACGGGGCTTATACCCACCTCCAGATCTTCGTTGAAGCGGATATGGACGTCTGCTTGGGACGTAGAGGTGAGAATATACCATATAAAGGCTGTAATAGATGTCTAATGAATACCAAACTAGTTCTACGTGACGTCAAGGAAAGAGGCCGGGACATCGATGGAATCATCAAGCAATGGTTCACCTTCGTCAAGCCTTCATACAAAAAATATATTGAGCCTCAAAGATCAGTTTCAGGTAAGATTGATACTGTTCGCCTGCCGCAAGATTGTCGACAATTGGTTCTGACTACAAACTTAGACATCATCATTCCTCGAGGCATTGAAAATAAAACAGCTATTGGTAAGGTTTGCGTTCATATTATCTAGGTCTAAGACTAATGAGTCCCCAAGGGATGGTTGTGCAACATATCCGGCGTAATCTGGAAGAAAAATCCGAGAAGCATAGTGCAACCCTCCAAGAGCTCCGGCGCATTGCATCTGAGGAACAGCTATCTCCCAACGTCATAATGATGCCGCAAACACCGCAGTTTGTTGGAATGAACACCATACTTCAAAATCCGGAAACGGAGCAAGTCGACTTTGTTTTTTATTTCGACAGGCTCGCTGCGTTGTTGATTGAAAGGTACGTCTTCACATTTCAGACAATACTAGCCGACATCATGGCTGATAATGTATGACGGATTTAGGGCGCTAGATGGCACTTCATACACACCTAAAGCAGTAGAAACGCCTCAACATACAAACTACGATGGGCTCAACCAGGAAGGAATTGTATCCGCCGTTGCTATCTTGAGAGGAGGGTCATGCCTCGAGACCGCTCTTAAGCGGACAATTCCTGATTGTATCACCGGCCGTGTCCTCATCCGGACAAATGAACGCAATGAAGAACCCCAATTACATTATCTCAAGTTGCCGCTAGGTATTGAACAGCACTCCACGGTCATGCTCCTTGACCCCCAGATGTCGAGTGGAGGAGCAGCCTTGATGGCGGTTCGTGTGTTGATTGATCACGGCGTGGCCGAAGAAAGGATTGTCTTCGTTACTTGCGCAGCCGGTAAATCAGGCCTCAAGCGGTTAAGTGCCGTATATCCCCACGTCAAGGTCATTGTTGGAAGGATCGAAGAGGAGAGAGAAACTCGATGGATGGAGAACAGATATTTTGGATGCTGAAGTTATACATAGAGACGCACGGAGTTTTACATATATATATACTGCCCGTAGATACTGATCTTCTAGCGAAAGTGAGAATCTCTTTTCGATGAATTCATGTCAAGTGATTGATAACTATTTGATATTTTTTTTTGACCTAACTAGACTGAACAATCTACCTTTCAATCTTAGATATGTCCTTCGGAGCGGAACGCACGGACCATCTCCGACGCCGCAGATTCTGTGGTTCCGCCCGCCAAAAAATATCAAGCCTCAAAACTTTTTTTCTGAAAGGCCAAGATCACCGATTCACGAACACCACCTTATTTCTAATTTCATCTCAAATCTACGCATCAGCGTGCTGGTTACTTGTCCCATAATCTTGCATACACCAACCCAGACACCGCCAAAATGCCTGACGGCAAGAAAAGCAAGAAAGGCAGCGGAAGTGGTAAACGTGACGCTGGTCCAGTCATCAGTACGTATTTCCACTACTCGGTCACGCTCGGGTTCTTCAAGAGCCGACGGAGGTGGAATGAGTATAACTAACCTTGCTATCCTACAGCCGATCCCCGATTTGCAAACATCCAAACAGACCCTCGTTACCGCCTCCCCAGCAAACGACACACACACGTCAAACTCGATAAACGGTTTTCGCACATCCTGCACGATAAGGACTTCTCGAGAAACGCTGCTGTTGATCGCTATGGACGAAAATTGGCTCGTGATGATACGAAGAAGCACCTTGAACGATTCTATCGACTCGGGGATGATGAAGATGAGGAGGGTGAAAAAGATGAGGGCGATGACATTAGCGTTGATGACGACGATGAGGTATTAAAAGAGTTGAAAAAGGCCGATAGCAGAGCGCCGGGGTATGATCCGGCGCGTGATGGTGGCTTTTCCTCTTCATCTTCAGAGGAAGAGTCGAGTGAAGATGACGACGAGGAAGAGGAGGATGATGATGAGGAGGAAGCTGTTGGGGGTGAGGAATTGGATTTCCCCGATAAGCAGCGGGAGGATGTGCCGATTGGAGAGGTCACAAATCGGATTGCTGTGGTTAATTTGGATTGGGATAACATCCGAGCGGAAGATTTGATGGCAGTCTTTTCGAGCTTTATGCCTGCCGGTGGTCGGGTGTCGAAGGTTGTTGTTTATCCCAGCGAGTTTGGAAAGGAGCGCATGGAGAGGGAAGAGACAGAAGGGCCCCCGCGGGAGATTTTTGCTACGGAAGGCGATGAAGATGAAGAGGATGAGGAAGAGGAGCTTGACTCCGAAGAGGAAGAAGAAAACATCAAAAAATCGATTCTCAAGGAGGACAAGGGCGAAGAGTTTAACACCACGGAACTCCGGAAATATCAGTTAGAGCGACTACGCTACTTCTACGCTATTCTGACGTTTTCATCTAAAGAGGTCGCAAAGCATGTCTATGACAATGTTGATGGAGCGGAATATCTTACGAGTGCAAACTTTTTCGATCTTCGTTTTGTTCCCAATGAGACAGATTTCTCAGATGACCAGCCCCGAGATGAATGCGAGCGGATCCCGGATGGATATCAACCGAACGACTTCGTGACCGATGCTCTTCAACATAGCAAGGTCAAGCTGACCTGGGATATGGATGATAAGTCGCGCAAGGAAGCGCAGGCCAGAGCGTTCCGAGGGAGCCGAAAAGAGATCGACGAGAATGATTTAAAGGCTTATCTTGCCAGTGATAGTTCCGACGACGAAGAGGATGGAGGTGTGGATATCGTCGATGGCACGAAGGGGGAAGGCTCCAAAATCTCACAGAAGGAGGAAGAGCGACAACGCATGCGAGCACTTCTTGGGCTGGGCGCACAGCCTGCCCAATCCTCCAAACCTGAGGGACCCGTTGGTGAGATGGAAGTTACTTTCACGTCTGGTTTGGCTGGTGGTCCCAACCGCGACACTATATTTGAGAATGAGCCCGAAGAGACTAGCATTGAGAAATACTTGCGCAAAGAGCGCGAGAGGAAGAAGCGACGAAAGGAGAAGCTGAAGGGTGGCAAGGTTGACGATGACGATGACGAAGATAAGGACGGCGCAGATGAAGAGAAGCCACAGGGAGAGGAAGATATGGGCTTCAATGACCCTTTCTTCGAAGATCCCTCTGACAAGGCTGCTACCGCGGCTCGCCGCAAAGAGGAGAAACGTAGGAAGCGAGAGGAGCGTGAAGCTGAGGAAACAGCCGCTGCAGCCAAGCGGGCAGAACTAGAATTGTTGATGATGGACGACGATGATGCTAAATCTGGAATGAGGCATTTCGATATGAACGAGATTGCCAAGGCGGAGAAGCAAGCCCGCAAGAAGAAGGGCAAGGGCAAGGGCAAGGATCAAGCAGCGCAAGAAGCCACTGATAACTTCGAAATGGATGTCAGTGACCCACGATTTTCCCGACTTTTCCAAAACCATGAATTTGCAATCGACCCTACCAACCCCCGGTTCAAACCCACGTCAGGTATGAAAGCTCTGCTGGAGGAGGGCCGCAAACGTCGCCGGGACCGGGATGAGCGTGGAGATGAGGAAGATCAGGCTCGCGATTCGAGGACGAAGAAAAAGCGGTCTAAGAAGAGCAATGGTACGGATGATTTGAAGAATTTGGTGGAGAAGGTGAAGCGGAAGACGAAGGCTTGATTGATTGATCATGCTTGTACTTGTATAGATCTACTGTTTTTCGCGCCACGTCGGCCCAAAAGCGACTTCGGGATTTTGAGCATATACCACCATTTGAATGACTTGTATCACAACCATATATTTGCCCTTTTATTGAATTAATATTTTGCGCCGTCGGCTAAAGGCCCTAGTTCTGGAATTGCTTCTTTCTTCCCCTCCCTTTCGCCTCTGTCCCCGTTAGTTGACCAACCCCTCGGGCCCAATATAAATATATGATGCAATTTAAATGTAGCCTGCGATAAAAGTTTCCATCCCGGCAGTCATTGCTTGTCGCATCCATGTTTGTACATGCAGTAGCAAGGTTGGCTGTGTAACGCACCTGGTCATTTGCATCTGATCTGAAAAAGAGAAGGGTCTCTGCTCTACCAATCGGAGTCTGGAGACAACCCCAAGCGATGTGATCGGTGGTGAATAATCTCCCGACCTCCAAGAGGCTGCAGGATGTGAACCACAACAGTGCAATGGGACAAGGGTATGTCAGTATAGAGGGCGCCTCGAGGTGGCATTCACTCACCGCCCTTTCGGCTTCTTCACCAACCCAAAGGCACCAACCACTTTCCCTTCCCATCCCTCCACCCCTCTACCCCCCCTCCTCCACTTCTCATCTGCTTACCACTCGTGTTTAAGTGTGGTGGGTGTTTCCAATTCCTCTGCCCCGCGGTTTGTGAACCCTCTGTCCCGCGTTTTTCGTTGCTATCACCACAAGGCAACGCCTACCGGATCCGATACAGATCGGCTGCCCCTCGGGTCGACGGATCCTCGAGAATGGTCCTCCTGCGATAGATTGAGTGATGGGAACTACAGTTCAGTTTTGTCTGGCTGTCGGTAATTTGAATTCGATCTATTTTGACGTGCGCCTGTTCGTTTAGGATTGCTGTGGGATCTATTCACTTTGTTCTGGGTGAATCCAATTCCCCTGTGTTGACCTCTACCTGTCTGCTCCGTTCCTGCATTTTTCTAGCTTGCCTTCCTTTCGACTGGGGCCTTTTCCTTCTTTTTGTCGGCTCTAGATATATTCTGCGGTGTCATAATGCTTGGCCGACTTTTGAACACTGCCGCCTCGACTCTGAATCCCTCGGCGTATTCGACCAAACCTACCCCACAACTTGAATCGGTCACTGAAGAGGAGCATACGTCCGGCCTCTTATTCCCCGATGCGAGTGTGCTTCGTCGCTCAAATACGCACGCATTTCCTCTACAAACCGCTTTCAATTCCCCCAACGCCTCCGCAGCTGGCGCCTACGATGACCGTGCGGGTGTGGAGTTGGATCCTCTCAAGGACTTCCGAGTGATAATTGCCCAGAATTCGCTTGGGGATAGAGAACCGTGCATTCTCCTAGACTCGAGAGCTGATGCATCGGAACCACCGTCTCCAGGACTTGGGTTGGAACCCCAAGTGTTTGAGACTTCCGGGCCGAGACATGCACGCACCATCTCCTCACTCTCGCGGGGGCGGCGGGGTTATCTGTCCCAATCGTCATTAGCAGATCAAAGCCCGCTCTCATTTGCAGCTGATATGCGCAGGACGTCGCCGACATCCTCTAGTGCGTTCGCCCGTGCCCGTGGTCGTAGTTCAACAATGGCCCAAGCTGGAGGGTTACAAGAACCTGCTCATTCGCGCCATCCGACGGATATGAATGATGCAGGTCTATTGAACTGTATATTTGGCAGCAGTGCATTTAGCTACCGTGGCTCGTCCACAAAGATGCATATAATCTCTGCGGATGATACACCCGGCGAGACCGGCAATGCGTCCCATGCGAATCGGAACTCTTTTACGCGATCATATGCTACTGGAAGCTCCTCAGGATTTGCCGGCACTAACCGTGCTGACCAAAAGCCTCGTTCAAAGGTGACTATCCTTGTGACAAGAATGTTCAGTGTCAACTTGCCCGAGGCGGGCGATGCAGCTGAGGCGCAAGAGCTTGCTTCCTCGCTATACCAAGACTCTTTACCGGAGACTGGTTATCCTTTTCCAGACGTTACGAAGCGTAAGAAAATAAAAGAGAAGAAAACGCCGATGTACGCAGTTGCCATCACGATCCAGATTCCGCTGTTGCCTCGGAATACTGCGAGACCAGTTTCTCGATTCAGTACTCAGGGTCAGGACTCACCCAAGCCGGGGATGTCTTGTTCATTAGACTCGGACCACCGCTGGCGTGGTGGGTTTCTTGATGACACTGTTGCGTCTGCTCCTGCTAGCTTGGACGAACGGATTGATCTACTGGTGGACCATTGGGATGTTATCAACCGCACATTGTCACATCTTGAGAGATTATCGCGAAACGAGATACTCTTTCTGTTGAAGAGAGTTGATACCTCGGGAATGCACCCGAAACCCGCCAAGCTTCCAAATATGCAACGAACAAATCAAACATTCCTTCACTTACCAGCGAACGTTTTGGCGCTTAATTCGAGATTGAAGGAAGAAGCTTCTCGAAGTGCTCGTCGTATCAGCAGTGCGCTACATATTCCCAATGTAATAACGGGACAAAGTCGCTGGGGTGTATGGCGCGAGGAGGGTCGTTCGATCGTGCGGAACCTTGGCGACAAGGAGCATAGCTTCTTCTTCCTCGTTCTAATCACTGCCTTTTTGGGAAATCACACGGAGTGGTTGAATGCACTGGGCCCTGACTGGTACCGACGGCGGCACTATCTACAGCAAAAAGCTCAGCAGGATGCAGAACCAGCCCTTCCTAATAGGACGGTAATTGTCTCTCCTGATAAGATGACTGCACGGCGACTCATCTTTCTCCTGTCGGCATTTCTCCCACCGAAGCAGCGCTTCGAACCACTTCCTTCCCCCCTTCGACCGGGCACCTCTGCCTCAACTCGTGCGGTCTCTCAAAGCCCGCCAAACGTACCTGTCTTGCGGCAAGAGCCACTTCGCAGAGCTATAGAGCGGCGATCTCGCGTACAACGGTTGAACCTCGCCGATAAGGATAATCATCACCGATCTGTTAGTGCTTCGTCGAATGAGACGGCTCATCGGTCGGCAGATGATGTTGAAAATGATTTTAGCACGTATCGCAGGGGCTCAGATGCTCGTTCGATCAGAACAATTGGGATTCCGATGCATGCAAAGGATTCACGCAGCAAAAACATTAGTACGGCGACAACATCAACCGCAAATCCTGGTAGCGCAGTTCCTGTACCCCATTTTGCGTCCCAAGGACGAACTGAAAGGGAAGGGTCTGATCAAGCTCTCGAAGATGGGGCGGATAGTTTAGCGTCCGAGACCCTGTTGAAGAACTTACAAAGAAGCGAAAGCTCAACGGTAAGCGTCAACGGTAGCCTTCCCTCAGCTGGAGGTCGGTGGGGTAGTCTTTTCAGCGGCCTCTGGAGCTCTCGCCAGGAATCATCAGCGGACTATGGCAGTGCTGGACCGTCATTTGGACATCGTCAGCGCTCAACGTCGATCTATAGCATCCCGTCAAAACGGAATCCTCCGACTCTTGACCAGATGGTTGAAGAAGCGTCTGGCGAAGAGCCTCCCCAGATCGCTAGTAGTGCCACTATCTCCATCCCGCAACCTCCAAATTCTCAACGAAAGTTTGAAGAGGACACACAAGACCTGTCTTCAACAACGGACAACACTAAGGAAACGTCGCTGAAGCTATCTGTCCGTGAAGAGGATGGGATCGTCGATGTTGAACTTCCATTGCCCGGGTTTGTCTCATTGTCTTCGTCTGGAGAATCCACCATGGCATCTCCGAAGAAGACTCGGACATCGGTAACGAGCATCGATGCCCTCGGATCCACTCATAGTAGTGGCTCGGGGTTCCATAACCAGTCGAAAGACAATGATAGCCCGAATATAAACGTCGCTGGGTGGTTAAAAACCTTCCATTACGATTTTTTACTTCAGGGGGTGCGACCTTATTCTACTCTGGAGTCTGATATTAAACGTGCAATGCAATCAGAACCCACTCCGAACAGCGCCATGACTTTGGATGCTGATGGGTCAGATAGGTGGGTGGATGTTGCAACGACTTTGATTGCGGATGTACGAACCTTCACTGTGAAGCGGCTGCGCCTTAGACGTAGAATTGTCGGGGCCAGCCCCGAGAAATCACCAATGTCACCACGCGGAATACCGACACCGCCGGGTGCCACCCGTCATGTCTCGGGAGGTTCCATGTCCACCTCCCAGCTTAGCGGCTACTTCTCCTCTGCCATGAGCTCGGCTTTGCCGTCCCCTAAACCTCGATTGGATGGGTACAATATCGGCGAGGTGGAAGAACGATTTGTCGAAGAGCCTGTGATGGACTTGGACGGAACCCTTGTGGATGCCCTGGAACGCGTGCTAGCCCAAAGTGGCCCATCCTCTTTGGCACCCACCCGAGCACCATCACCGTCCCGATCTCGGAAGGAGAGTGACAAAACCCCAGAGTTTATGACTATGCGAGAGGATATCCCTCCACTTGAAGCTCCCCGTACCGAATGTCGCCGTGTAGTCTTGGGGGCACTGGAAGAGATAGTCCGCAGCGTCACAGCCGAGCATTGCCGTGAAGATGAGGGGGGACTCGGCCTGACCGAGAGAGAGCGGAAGCGTTTGTTGTCAGGAGTCGATAACACGCTAAGAGAAGGAGTCCGAAGATGGCTTCTTGATGTTGAAGAAGCGTGGTAGAACCCCTGCTCGTCAGCCACTTACAAAAAGCCTTTCCACTTGGAAAATTTCTCCCGCCATACACCTTAGCGCTTTAATTTTCAAATTTTTGCAGCATTTTGCCTTGGTACCAACCGGCGATCTTTTTATTTGTTGGTTGTTTATCTGTGGTGGTTTTGTGTTTTTTTTCTCTTTTCTTTCTCGTTTTGATTATGATACCCATATGTCATATGTTTGAGTCTTTCGGCTTAGTTTCGTTACCACAGCCTCTGCATGATACGTGATACGTTAACGGCCTCGAACACTGCATACATAAATCTGAATTACTCGTCAAGACCTTGTATTATCTATCAGTCTAGTGTAAGGGTGAATCACCACCTAGGGTAATACGTTGGGCATAATACTAGGTACAGCAATGGAAACAAGGGCTGGGTTGACTTGACTCGAAATGAACGAGTTTAGTGCCCAACCCAATTCACCTGGATGCTTGTCTCATCATCATCATCCACGGTAGCTATAACATCACCACTCTCTTCATCACACTTAACCGTCAGAACATTCAACGCCTCCTGCGTATTGTCCGGATCAACGATCTCAACATTTACCTCCTTGCCACCAAAGTCCCCATTAACCAAAACCTCCAACCCATCGAGCGCAGGGCCATCAGGCCGTTCCAGCGTCGGGTTCAGCGGTGTTACCGAGCCAGGCCGGACAAGTATCGGCAAGGTGTCAAACCCATGGGTTTCCGTATACCAGCGCCCGGACTCGTATGATTTCTCATGATCAAACCAAGAGATCCAGCTCCCATCACCATCCTGAGGCGTCCTGGGTACATAGAAAGTCACAGACCCTTTATCCGAAAAGACAGGGGCAACGAGCAAATTGCTCCCAAACATATACTGTGTATCCAGCGAATACGTATTCAAATCCTCGGGAAACTCAACGAACATTGGACGCATCAACGGTGTCCCGGTTCGATGCCCTTCTAAAGCCTCAGAGAGGAGATAAGGTGTAAGTGTGATTTTGCGCTTCACGCAGTCCCGGAGCACATCAGAGCAATCCTCCCCGTAGATCCAAGGGACTCGGAACGAAGAGCTTCCATGGAGCCGGGAATGCGAGGACAGGAGCCCGAACTGGACCCAGCGCTTATACAATGCTGGCGGTGGGGTTCCCTCGAACCCGCCTATATCTGATGCCCAGAAGATATATCCGCATAGGGAGAGGGAGAGGCCGCCCCGTAGTGACTCAGCCATGGCTTCGTAGGTTGACTCGCAGTCGCCACCCCAGTGGACGGGGTATTTCTGGCCACCGACGGAGGTGGAGCGGGCGAAGAGGAGGCTGTTCGAGGGACCCGAGACGGATGTCATGGTCTCATAGACTATCTTGTTGTAGAGAAGGGCGTAGTAGTTATGCATTTTGACAGGGTCTGAGTTATCGTGGTACTTGATGTTTTTGTATGGGATGCGTTCGGCGAAGTCAGTTTTGAACGTGTCGATGCCCATTTCCATTAACCGGGTTAGGTGCTCGCAATACCAGGCGCTGGCATCCGGGTTTGTAAAGTCGACGACGGCCATGCCCGCTTGCCAGAGGTCCCATTGCCAGACTGAGCCATCGGTCCTCTGTTCGTAGAATTGTTGGTCAATGCCTTCGTTAATAATAATGAAATTTTATTGTCAAAGACAAACCTTGATGAAGTACCCGTTTTTCTTTCCGATCTCGAAGAGAGGAGAGGCTTGCCCAACGTACGGATTGATCCAGATACTAAGCTTAAGCCCTCGATCTTTGAGGCGTTGGAGGTACCCAGCTGCGTCAGGGAACATTTCAGAGTCGAATTCAAAATCACACCATTGGTACGACTTCATCCAGAAGCAATCGAAGTGAAACACCCCCAGTGGGAGATCTCGGTCTTTGAAGCCGTCCAGGAAACCAGTCACGGTTTCCTCGTCGTAGTTTGTGGTGAAGCCTGAAAGCCACTGGTTAGCAGAAGGACATGCACTAGATAAGAGAGCCAAAAGCGCACTTGTAGTAAGCCACAAATTATAACTCCAAGCAGGAACCAAGCTAGGACGGCCAGTTAAAGCCGTATACCGGGCCAGAATCTCCTTTGGCGTGTCTCCTTGAATGACGAAATATTCCAATTCCTCACCAGGAATCGAGAGATTGACCCTGGTGGTCCTTTCGGATTGCAGTTCCAAGCTCACTTTGCCGGGATTATTCACAAAAACACCGTAGCCATTTGAGCTTATATAGAACGGGATATTCTTATAAGCCAATTCTGATGAAGTGCCACCGTCTTCGTTCCAGATATTCACGCTCTGACCGTTCTTAATGAAGGGGCCGAATCGCTCGCCGAGCCCATAGAGTTTCTCACCGACGCCGAGATCGAGACCCGCAAGCATGTAACCCTGACGCTCAAAGAAAATGCCATCCTCGAAGCGGGATTTCGGGGTCGTTTGGTCGCCTATGTATCCGATCGAGCGCCATGAGTGGCCTGTGAGTTTTCCCTTTGCGCTAGAGAAGGTGAAACCCATTTCGTTGGGGGCTGTGTTGATGTCTAGACTGAGAGGACCACTGGCGTAGCTTAGATTTTTACCCTTTTCGTATACTATGCTGGTATGGCCTTCGGTGGTGGACAGTTCGTAATGCGGTCCATTGTCTAGCCCGCCGGCCCTGTACACAAGAAGCATTAGAGATCGTTAAAATCGAGTGGAGAGGGTCAGCAAACCAGTGGATAATCTTGACACCAATGATACCCTCCAGCGGAGAAGTTACGCGTGCAGAGATGGTAGCTGTCAACATAAGACTTTGAGTTATCTCTCTTAGCATCAGCTGGCCGGGATAAACTCACGAGAGTTCAGTGTATCTCCACGGTGTCGCTGGAACTTGTTCAGCAATAGATTCACTGCATCCCTCTCAATATCCAACCGCTCGACATTGCTCATCCAGTCTATACGAATCCCCTCCTATACCGTGATTTGTTAGCTCATCGACGATGCATAATCGAGTAGGGTCGAAATCTCACACGCAGGAGCCACATGCCCTCAGTGAACTTCATCTTGAAAAGAACAACCTGTTATTTCTAAAAGGAAAGAAATAATAACTGATTCAATCAAGAAGATCGAGTGTTTAAAGAACCAGACAAGTAAGGGAAGACCACCGGAATATATCTCTCCTGAGCAATCGCTCTTCGCGCCCAGAAATTCCGCATCCGCAAAGGGCAAGACTCCGTCCTGCATAATAGATTCCACCTTCCAGCAGCTTGGCTGGAAGTTCCAGAGCTTCTGTTTCGTTCGCATCTGGGATGATCGCTTCATGGTACGTAGGGCGGGGCAACTGAACTGGAGTGCTTCGTTGGCGAGGGGTATTCGGGGTGAAGCTGGTATGATAGATTATGAGAGGGGGTTGTGATTGAAGCAAATTAGCCAGGCCGGATATATCCACGAATCATCGACGCGGAACGGCGATGCATGCTAGCTAACGAAGCTCAAGGATGAAGTGGTGGAAGTGGGGGTGATGTCGAGGGGAAGAAGCTGTTTTACTTCTGCCTAAATCAACTTGGGATAAACTCCGGCCTTGTTCGGCTGAAAAGACAACAAGGCACCATTCGTTCCATTCATTCAAATATATAATACATCATATAGTACCTAGCAAGGAGCTCATACTTTATAACCTAATGTAACTGATCAGGCCCCGCTCAAGTTCAACGGCCGCAGCCCTCCACTTCTGGGGCTCCCCTTGGTAATCGAGCTATCATCCCTCTGCCGACTCCTAGGATCAAGCAATGGTAGATTTTCGCGTCTGGTCCCAGTGTTTGGCCTCGACGGCGTTCCCGGCGGGGGGGAGATGTGGTGGTTGATTACAGGTGCAGGTAGCTCTAAAGACGGAATAGACGCATCAACAAGCGATGTCGTTGTAGGTGCTGCCTTTGCTGAAGCTGGGTAAACAAAAGACTCGCTGTACAACTGCCCTAACCGAATAGGGTCATTGCAAAATTCCTCAAACCCGTGCAGGATGTTCTCCGGCGCACGGTAGAGGTTTGCAGAATCAAAGCCAGAGTGGCTCTGCGGACTCATTGAGCCGCCGATATCATGAATTGGGCGGACGAGGGGAGAGAGACGTGGAGAGGGGCGGTCTATCGGATCGTAGGTTCCTGCACGGGCCCGGTACTGCTCGGGCCGGTCATGTCGGGGAATGTCGCGACTGTTGGGTACAGTCCTTGTGCTGACAAGCCTGTTTGCTAGGACCAGAAAGTCCCCCTCGTCTGTTATCTGCACGAGAAGGCTACCTGACTGATGGATGTACTGGGAGTACCGATAGTCGGGTCCTCCCCACGAATAGCCAACATCAACATCCGGTGGGAAGTCAGACCGTGCTTCGAAGTCTAGCACAAAATCAAATTTCTTCAGAATGAGCTTTTGGAAATAATGGGCGTCCGGTGCGACTTCTTGCGTAAATGAGGCGGTGCTGAAAACAGCGGAGCTGGGTCCCTTGGGAGGAGGAACCTTCAGCTTAACCCTGTATGGACGGCGGAAAGGTTGCGTTTGATCAATCGCACTGGCTTCAGCGATAGGCACCTGCACAAGCTTGAGCCCGAACTTCTCTGCAGTCGCGGCCCAAGACTGAACTGTATCCTCAATAAGCTTCGGGGTAGTGTTCATCCAGCTTAGTTCAATATGGAAGCAGTTGTCAGGATTATGCAACCGATCGTAGTGCAGATCGATAACTTCGGGGCGATTCGAGCGCTTGCGAGGATCGACATCGTACTTCAACGTCTTTGACAGCATAACAGAGGCTTTGTTTTTCGACTTCGTTGGCGTATTCGGCGTTTGAGGAGCCGCTTGATCAAGGCTAGTAGTCCGCGAGTGAACACTCACAGGAGAATCCTTCCAGTTATCCGCCGTTGCAGGAGTTGACGGGGTTGACTTGTCCGGCCTGATCTGAGGGAACCAGCTGTTCCTAGATTCAGGATGTGAAACGCGGTACTCGCTCGAAATTTGGTAGAAGTAATTACCATCCCTGAAGTTGTGCCGCTTCTCCACGTGCTGGAATAGGCCACGGTCCCACAGCTTGTTCCCAAAATCGACGGCTTCTTCACGGCTGTCAATATCCCGGAAGTTTTGACAGAGCCACGTCGTGAGTTCGGAGCCAATAAAACAGTTATAGTGTAGCCTCCAATGCCATCTGCGGTCCATCATTCTCACCCCCTTTTCTCCTTGAATAATATGAGCTAGAGATGCCAGGCTGATATTGGAGCGTTCCAACAGTTCAGATTCTGGCAGCAGCTGTGCTGGGAAACTATCTAGCCCTGGGTCTGCAAGTAGATTCAACTCTGCGGCAACCACTTCCGATGGATTCCTCGTCTGGTACATGATGTTCAGCGGGTTTTGCTCTCTGTGCTTGTTGGATGTTTCGATTCTTTTCTCCTCCGGGGGGACGTATTTATGCCGCTGCCAAGTAAGGGTGAGCTGATTGATACCAAGCAAATGGATCTCCTCTTCGTTATCCTGATTTATAGGCTGCATGTGCCAGCGGGAATGCATATGTAGATGCACTGGAATCAGGACGTATCGAACACGCCAGAAATGGAGTTGCTGTGCCGGGTTGAATAGATAGTCGCGATGGCCAGCAACGTAATTATCAGCGTAGTTCCAGTTGTACTCTTCTGTTGAAGGGCGAAGCTTCATGTGCTTCACATAGTACTCGCGACTTAGGATTGTTCGCATAGCTGCAGAATACGTATCGTCAAGTCCACTCTTCTTTTCAGGTGCCAGGTCGGAAAGACTTCTATGTAGAAACCGGGTGACCTCAATCTCATTCCCTCCAGTACAAACAAGGCGATGTATTGAATGACCTTTCGAAAGGAAGACAGTCGTGCCGTCCCTTTCTAGGGCATGGGTGTCGAAGACATTTGGCGATTTGAGAGTATACCGTCCTGATGCCTCAACTACTCTTTCTCCTATAACGATCTGAAAACCGTGAGAAAGGCGCAGGGAAATCATTTCCCGCAGTAGCACCCCCGTAGTTTTCGGTGCGTCTAGGCCCTCCGCATCATCATTTGGGAATACTCTATAAGGAGTTTGCAAATAATCAGATGCAAGCTCACTTGCGGTGGGAAACTCCTCTGTTGTCAATGGCAAAACAGCAGGTGACTTCAAACTCTTCCATTTGACAACAGCAACATGAGGTGGCCTAGGATAGGCATGCTGCCAGCGACCGAACCAGCTGGTGTCCCGCGAAACCTCTCTAGGAGTATTACAAGGGTTCACGGAACGGACCCAAGGAGAAAGCAACCTGCTTTGGGAGGATTTGCCAGATGGCTCTCGTAAGCCAGCGCTTGGTGTCAATTCAAGCCTAGGAATCGTCTTTTTAGTCTGATGCTCGCCAGGTTTCTCGTTCAAAGGATGCTCGGGACCGGTAGCTGAGAATGACTCGGTCACGGAGCGCGTTGGTTGTTCCGGGTCCTCAGCGGATGTCTTTGCCGGGACTTTGATTGATATCGGCCTCGAAGGTGTTATAGTAGGGCTTTTGCGCGGCTTGGGAGGGGTGCTTGGAGCAGGCGAGGCCTCGACGACCGTTGCTGTTGATGCAGAATCGGATGTGCTTAAAGACTCCATGCTCTTCGATTCTTTAAGAGCCCCTGAACCCTTCTTCGTATTCGAGGTCGGCATGCCCGTAGCGTGTTCTACATTAACTTCTGTGCTTGCCTGGGCCCTGGGTGGAGCAACTCCTAGCCCTCTGAGAGCAAAACTGATTGTGCGCGAGATTCGCGGCGTTTTTGATTTGGAGGAAGCCTTTAAAGCGGGCTTCCTAGGTGAACCAGCCTTGTTGCCAGGCACCTTTGGAGTTGCCTCTTTCCGTGGCCATTCGTTCGGGTTCACTTCTTGTTCCCTTAGATGCGTTACTGACCTTGCAGAAAGCCGCTCGTGTGTACTAGAGGCCTGAACCTCGGGCTCACTTAGACGTTTCGGCTTAGTGTGCCTGCGGCGATGGTTCCGTCGTGTGAACGGTCGAAATACCATATCATCATAATTGTCCATCCAGGCTGCATTTGCAGATGCGTTCTGCGACTTGGCCAGTGTCATTTCCTTTGGACCTCCCATATGCTGCAAAAAGGGATCTGGTCGTAAACTATCACTCAACTGATTCTTGAGCAGGGAGTTCCGTCTAAACGAGGACCTAGATGGTGCAAGGGAGACTGAGTTCAGGCCTCTGGAAGTACCGTAACCTTCAAAGAGATAGGGGATAGAGATATCCGATTGTTCACTTTCCATGACTCCACCCATTTGTATCTCGTACATGCGTACTCGAGGAGTAAAAACCTTCGATTTTTTAGTCACGGTGAAAGGGATAGGAGCGTTCGGGTCCTTCTTCAGTATCCGCCGTGAAGCTCTATACGTCTCAGGGTTCCAGTACGAAATATCAAGCCAGTGCGGAATGCCGTAACTCCAGTCATGCGCACGGTGCCAGGGAGTGCGATGGCTACTTGCTGGAGGGGTGCTAGAAATGGTTGACTTCGGGGAGAAGTGGGAAGTTCGGTTGGTCAGACTTGCAAACGAGTGACGCATCTCTGGTGAATAACCACCGCTTTGAATGTCACCGTAGGAAGAGGTGGGCTGTCCACGACTCGGCTCGCGGTATTTGAATAAAGGCACGGAGTGGAGTGGCATCGGGCTAAGACAGACCAGATCAATTGCAATCCCCCGATTCGTGAGCGCTTCGGTGGTGGAAGTTAAAGACTCATAAGACACTTCGAAGACGCCACTACCCGGGGTGATGACAATGATGGATGTTCCAGTATGGACCATATCACGGTCGATGTGGTCAAATGCCAAATGTGAAGAAGCGAGGTGGACTGCTTCTAGGATATTGCCGCGCAGCGCAGTGCTGGGACGCCCCCCAATGGTGGCATGTGGAGTGGCGTTCGCACTCGTGAAAGGTGTAACGGGATCCTCTGGCATTTTCAAAATCGATACATCTCTTAAAAACGTCCTGAAATCCTTTTTCAACTCGTCAAGAATAGTGGTCCAATGGCCACTGGCCATATCATTGACCACAACACGGTAGAAGTCCCGAGCAGGGACATGGTTCGGGCTGAACGTATTCTTCAGACTCTCGGAATTAAGTGAAGTTGAAAGTCCAGTAGTCGAGGCATCATACTCAACCCGAGTGAATAGGACAATAGTGACCAGGTGCCTCGCGTCTGCATTTGCCCATCGCTTGAATAATTCCGGCAAAAACCCATTGATAACCCTGCTGAAGAGGATATCTCCCGTCCCTTCAGAGTCAAAGTCCCACATTTCCCTCGACATTTGAATGAACAAGACATACTTCGCAGCCTCGCTGCGGAACACAGGTATGGTCTGCGGCGAGAAGAATCCCGAAAGGACCTTTTTCCCCCGGATAAAGATGTTCTTGACAGTCGCCTTGATGTGGCCCATGAACACGATCTTCTGGCCCTTATAGACTATTTTCCCGGCAAGTTCCGACATAACGAGCCTCCACATGTCAGAGCGCACCAAAAACTGGTCACGGAAAGATATGTCCACATGAGACGCAGCACATTGCGCCTGCTCAACAATGGAAATAAACACTGAGCTTCTATTCTTGAAGCCAAATATGTTGGCAACACTGCTAGTAACAGAAAGCTCCAGCTTGGGGTGCCGGCTCCCAATCTCCTGCGGCAGCGGTTTAGCCACAAACAAACAGCGTGTCTGGAGCGGCGTCTTGAACTTGGACATCGCCTGGGACCGCGACGACGGACTGGTGTCAACATGCCCGCCATCACGTAGCGACCTCGAGCGTAAATCAGGCTTTACGGTCTGCGGCGCGTCCGGAAGAGACCAGGTCGATAAGATCTCAATGACATCGCCATCGCGCACGCCCGTGTCTGCGAACGCGGCCTGGCTGAACAAGATCTCCTCCTTGGAGAATGTCTCGTCGTGGACCCATAGAGAACACTTCCGCCGATCTAGCCCCGTTGATGGGAATCCGAAGGTGGTCTTGCCATCTGGGCTGGACGGATGGTCGCTGAGAGCGTCATGTTGGGTTGTGTGAGTGTCGGAGTGGGACGTGGAGACCGAGTCCAGAGTGGCTGCGCTGACCTGTCTCAGGTGCGAACGCCTCATGGACCCCCGCATAGACATGCTTCAGCTTCCAATAGATTGCATTGCTTACGAGATCCCCAAGAAATTAACCGTCCGCGATAATTGATCGACGTGGATGGATTAATTTTTGGGGTTCAGGAAGTCGAAGTCAGTTGCTCTCCAGACCGTCCTTATCGGGATCACGTGAGGAGCGATCACCTGAAGCACGTGACTCTATCGCACCTGGTGGTTTGAGCGCGTGAATACAGGTCAGCGCACCACCCCCCCTGGATTTGAGCGCTCGCGAGTTCCTTTAAGATCACGTGGGTAAGTCGGAAGAGTGAATGCAACTGTTAAACGACCTTGCAAAACCATCATTGTCAGTTTTAATAAATAGTTAGGTTAGTTCAACCCTGCAAAATGGGAGTTGTACCATGAACCCCTAAGCTCATTACAGTTCTGTTACCTGAATTTTCTACAACAGACTCTTTCGGGTCGAGCATTAGCCAATCCAACATAGAGGCCCTTGGATTAACCACTGCGATCCTCTTTCCTTGAAACTTCCAAATACCCATCTATAGTTGAGGCTCCAAAGCAATCATAACAAAGTGGGGATATGGCTCGCATATCTTGGCAACCCGCCATCTGAGCTCTCGGCCCGGTAAACGCTAACCCAGAGACGGTTAGCCTCTTTGAGACAAGGAACTCGCGGCCCTTTTTCTAAAGAAAACACCCTCTCAAGTCTCAAGTATATTGCATTATTACCAGATTGTGATGTCAAGATTGATATCCTATTTCTGATCTTCCAGGGGGGTCTTCAGCCTAATCAATGGACTTAGTGCCCGTCTCTGTGCATATATAGGCTTTCAGAGACGGTTATTGACCCGTAACCTACAGCGGGTCCCTCCAGGCTGGCTCCAACAAGCGACAGACATGGAAGGATAAAGGTTGAGCATTGAGTGTTCCTGCCTTGGCGGTCAAGATAACGCACTTTTTAAGAACAGAGGGCCAATGCTCCTCAAATGTGGAATTGCCATGGCAGAGTAGGTAACATCCGAGCTAGGGTCGGAGTGAGCAGACCCTTAGCTTTCTTCCAGATGGACGTGCTGTGGGAGTTCGTATCCAAGTTCCAGGTTTATTTTGGCTAAAATCGCTATGTAATAATGTCAATTAATGCTCCTCTTTTATGGGACGTCGTTATGCTTTCTATTTCTACTTTAGGGCTGGTTGACTTGGCCTTGATTGTTTTTGGGGGGGGGGGTCTCCTTACCTCCCAAGTCATCTACGGATGTAGGCAGCTGGTTCGTGGTTTGGCAAAATTCGCATCATTGAAGACACGCTCCGAACGGCTACATGGCTTGCCAGCAAATTTTTAGCTCAGTGGAGTTATGCTGGTGGTCATATGTGGTTGCATTGTGCCGGTCACGAAAATACGGCAGCGGCATGGCGGTGCAATCCAATTGGCAGGATCTTTCTGCGACCAGCTAAGAATATGGGTCTTTAGGCGCCTACCAGTAAGCAAGGAGACTGAATTGGCATATCTGACTCCTGGAGCTTTTCTCGGAAGTCGCTGCCGGCGAATAGCAACAACCCTCGTCGCCTGTGTATGACCCACTTGTTGGGCTTTCGGTATTTGGGCGTGATCCATTTGATCAGTGCGGATGCCTCATTTCGGATAATTAAGGAATAATTGTCCCTCCTAACAGGCGAGCTGCGAAGCCTTAATTCGGGGCGAACTTGCGGTTAGGGAACACCATTTGCTGTGAGTAGCGAGTGCCATACACGCCGGTGATCGGTCTCTGAAACATGGAAACTGCAATGCGGAGCAGCTACCCAGCATCAGTGCTCGCGTATTTATTCGGAGACGGGTTTACTATAGCGTGGACGGGGCCAGAGGTGATCAGATGTAAAAGACGGTAAAGTGCGGTGCGGATCTTTTCTGAGGCCGGGAGAACCTGTACCATTATTTAGAGCACTGGGGGCTAACCCGTCTGAGAATTCGATACAGAGGTGGGCAGATGGAAAACTGACAAAGTTTTAGATAAATTGAACCCACCAGTTCACCAATCCCTATCCATATGCACAGGGTTGGTGGACAAGAGAGAGAAGACAAAACAGTTACATGAGCTGAAAATACGGGAAGAATAATTCCCGAGACCTTGACGAAGTGTCAGCCTTAGTTTTGGGGCCCCATCGCAACCGCGATTTCGCGGTGTGATAGTAGGTCTTGAAACGCTGTCCAAGCTCGCTGTGCTGATGGATTCTTAGTGGCCAACAAAGAAAGCCAGCCAGCTACCTTGGAAACATTGCTAATGGCCCTCGGATGTTGAGTAGTGTTTGATTTCTCTTTGATGAAGAGGCTGACCAAGAGGACGGTGGCGCCCTGCATGAGATAATGCACGATACACCACCAAGGCGACAAACGATAAATCCACGCGAGGTCCGGAGAATTGGGCAGTAACTCCAACATCAGGCAAGCCATATCGATGCACATTGAAGCCATTGTGGCGCAAAAACTCTCAATTTGACTATCCCAGGAAGCCTGCTGAAGGATGCGGCTAAGACAGGGTTGAGTGATGAGTATCTTGGTGCTATAGAAAGAAAACGCAAGACCGAGTCTTTCCCTTTCGCAAGCTTCTGCTCCTTGCGTAAAATGTAGTTCAGCCGGGAGCTTGGGGAGCCAACTATCCGCCCTACTGTTCAACGCCGAGATGACCATCTCAATAGAGCGCCACGACTTTCGCCCTGCCCCAGGAGCATATAAGGCGTCAATGGACCGCCGCATCAGTAGCCCCAGTTCAACAAGATAGAGAAAATGCAGGGAACTGTTCGGTGTAGTTGGGGTAAGGATCTGGGCGGCGGAAGATGCTATTCGATCGCTGTGCTTATCAGAGTCTGGAGATGGACGCATGGCGGATTCGGGTATCAAGGCACTTTCTGCTGACTGTGCCGAGGAACGAGAGACCAGGTTTCGGATAAAAAGCGTGCGTGCCTCATGATCTTCAATCAGCTTCTCAATTTCCCCCCGCGAGAAGTCCTCCTCCACGAATGGTACCGGAAGAGGGGTTGTGCAGGAATCTTCTGTGCTGCTAGGGAGACGCCCAGTCATCACACATAGCAATACATGCAGTACGTACACAGCCCACCAGACCCTGTAACGGGTCTCTCTTGAACTGTATGATATAATGTCGCTCTCGTTTCGAAGATTCAACCCCATTGTAACGGCCGACTCTATCGAGATACCCGAAAGCCTCCAAGATCTTGAACAACGCTATGTCAGCACTGGGAATCCCCGAAATCAAAGATTAAAATGGTTAAAGCAAATTGACGGACCTGTTAGCCTGCCCCACTGCCATAAGATAAAAGGCGCTAAGACCTTCAACCTGTACTTGTTGAAGATTCGGATGGTCCAACAACGCAACATCACCCATGCTGAGCTTCCACGCCCGAGAAAAGTATATTGTATGGTGATCTGCGCCGGTCTCAGTGTCCCCCAATGAACCATGATCGTATTTCGTAGCAATTGCGAATATCAGATTAAGAACTGCTAACCATCGCTTCCCAGGTCGGACGGAAGGAGCAGAATAGAAAGACTTGTATTGGCCTAGGAATGTGGCCTTGCTGACAATTGGAAAACAAGGGTGCACAGTGTGAAAATAGCTTTCCACTAGTCGATCCGCAACCGCAGGAAGCGGCCGCTGAGACAGGTCAACGTCGTTCAAGACGGTTACTTCAGTGTCATCGATGAAATAATTCGCAGTAGTGACATAATCTCGATCAAGACTCTTGCCTAGTTGACCGTGGTGAACAAGATGGAGGATCTTTTTCAGTCTATACATCCACGCGATCTCTGAATGTTCGCCAACAAACCCCATAGCCTGTATCTTCTCATCACGGTTGAAATCTTCATTTGTGAAGTCGATTGTGCCTATTGGGGACCCTGAATCGGTGGCGAACAGAGGTGACGGGAGGTCAGAAGGCAAATGACTCGGGGGCTGATCGTTGTCGTATTGCTGTTATAAGAAACACTGTTGAGTAACGTTGAAGGGTAAAAATGAACGAGTCTATAAAATCGACTACGGAGGAATAGCGCTTACATCGCTCAAGATCTGTTCCACGTATTGGACAGATAGCGAATCCAGATTTGGATAAATGTTTTGCAGCAGAGTTTCGAACGATTCAACCCGCGCTGTAAGGTCACTCAGTCGCCTATTTCACGCCGTCAGACTTCAGACCCTTTCACTCCGGAAGGAGTCAGCCAAGTCGCGCACCTAGCTAATTTCTCCCGTTTTCGATCGCCGTATGAGCATTGAATCCCCGATTCCTGACATCTTTGACAAGTTGGGCGTTGCCCGCTGCATTTCACTTTTTGATCACGACAATTTTCGCACGCCCGACTAACTCGACCTCGATTCGGCACCGCGGTTGAACTCACTGACCGTGGGATCGGAACTTTGCTGTTCAAAGAATGTTCTGGAGCTGCGGCAGTGGCAACGGTTGTAGAGATTTCGGGCTGAGTGGATGTTGCTTCGGACGGACCTTGTGATAAAAAAGAAGGCTGTGGGAAACCAGGCGTCGGCCAGCCAAAAACTGATTCATTTTCTGGGTACTGCGATGAGGGGTCATAAGGTGAAAAAGGGAAGGAATCACTCATTATCGGGAGAGAGAAGGGAGAGGAGCGAAGGCGTTGTCGACGCCCGTTCGTCCAACTCCAACTGCAAGCAACGACGAAGAGGGAGGGCGACGTCGGTAAGGTGTGTTATGCCTCAAATTCATCAGGCAAAGACAGGGAGACGAGGACACGGCCCCTCAAGACTCAGAAGCCATTTTGTAGGTGAGCAAGGGATTGCTGCGCTGTGGTAGGTCGGAGCGAAGTTCCGCGTGAGTGGTTCCCGTGAGTGGGCTTCACCAATCATACCAAATCCTGGCGTTATGGCAAGCACGGGAGCACCCATTGTTCAAGAAAAGGTCGTGTGTTTTATCCGCTCCTACCACTGTTTATGTTCTGCCTTTCCGATATAGCGCCGAGCTTTGCCAGAGACAGGCCGATATCACCAGCC